GGAGGAGGAGCTGGGATGTTGGGGGAGGTGCTGCACCTCCCAGCACAGACTTTAATCCCCGAGTGACCTCTGATTTCTGCCAGGTTCACTGACTTCTTTCTTCGATGAAGTGGGACCATAATGATCTCTTTGGGTGTCAATAGCAGAACACACTCAAGGTGACGTTCACAGAGTCATTCTGAGGATTTGGGGGGGACTGGAACCCCACGAGTCAGGACCACAGGCAGCCTGGCTTTGTCCGGGCACCTGTGCCCTTGCTCTCTCCCTCCCGGCCCAGCTCCTCTGCCCTCCACCAACATGGCTGCAACACCCGTGGCCCCCCTGGACTCAGTGACCAGCAGGGACTGGCCAGTGTCTAGGTCCCAATGTCACTTCCTAGGCTGGGGTACACCTGCACCCTGACCTCAGGGAGCTATGGCCAGACAGGTGGCTGCAGAGGGTACAAATGTGGCTGCCAGGCAGCTGGCTCAGGGACAGAACTGGGGGCTGGGCTGGCACCTCAAAACCCACCAGCTGTAGTAGTGCACCCCTGCAAAGATGACGAGGGCTGCTGGGCATCAAAGGTGTGGGGCTCAACAGTCGGGGTAGGGACACCCCGGCCCCAGAGGTGCCGGCGACAGCAGACCCGGCCCTGGCCCCACCCCCGCAGCTCACTGGTGCTGGGATCGGGGTCCAGCCTCCCTCCGCCTCAGTTTGCTCACTTCAAAGTGGGGCCCACACCCCACGGGCTTGGTTCGAGGTCTCAGAGAAGGGGGCCTGCCTGCCAAGTGTTAGGCGGGAGGATGGGGTGCCGAGGCCCTCTGGGTCTCGGAGGCCCTGGATGTCCTGTGGCAGGCAGAGGGGTGTGAGTGGCTTTCGCGGGGATGGGGACCGTTTGCCAGAATGAGGCACAGGAACCAGCGCGTCGTGCAGGGGCTGGGTGTGGCTGGACCATGGGGAGTGGCCCTGCCCTTCTCTGAGCCTCGGTCTCCCCACCTGCAGAGTCAGGGTCCCAGTGCCTGTGTGCCCCGCGCAGCTGCCGACCAGGAAGCAGTGCCCGGGGTCGTCCTGCGGCGGCTCTCCGCCACTCCGAGGTGCGCCCGAGATGCGTGTGGGCCTGAGCCCCGCAGGACGGCAGGGGGCAGGGCCCAGCGCTCCACCCGCGGCTGCCCGCTCTGCCTCCCCAGCCTCAGCCAGGGTCCCCCCTCGCCCCTGCGGGCCGCCTCCTCTGCACACCCAGCTCCCCGGCTGCACCCTCGGCAGGGCCAGCGCGCCAGCTGGCCTCAGCTGCCCTAGGGGTCAAGGCAGGTCAGAGCTGCCCGGCAGGGCGCCCAGGAATGCAGGGGTCCGGGGCTCCTGCTGTCTGTCTGTGTGGCCTGCACTGCCCCCCTGACTCGGGCCCTGTCGGTCAGGCTGTCTGGATCTGCCTGTCTGCACCTCTGTCTGCATCTGGAGCTGTCTGTGAGTCTGTGTCTGCTCGTCTAATCGCTTTGGGTCTGTCTAGATCTGCCTTTCTGTCTGTCTGTCAGAGGTCTGGGTTCCTGTCCCAGCTTTGCCTCTGATGCACAGCGTTGCCTGGGCAACACCCTCCACGTCAGTTCACATCTGTGTCCCCCCACAGCTGTGCACAGGGATCCCGGCCTTCCTGCCCAGCTGTGCTCCTGACCCTGGTCGGCGGGTCTGCAGGAACCACTGCCCGCCCCTCCACACCCTCCCGTATACCTTTCCAGCACCCCTGCCCCAGCGCAGGGCTCAGCCCCTCCCCCCACCCCAGCAGCCGCCCGTCAGTGACTCTCACACATTCCTGGAAGAGGGAAAATCGGCCCGAATTCCAGCAAGTCTTTGGCAAGGTTTATCAAAAATTTTAGAAACATACACATTATGAAGCTCTCCATTGCACATTCCTGGAATCGCAGGAAGTGGGAAGTCACAGGGATGCCCACCCAGGGCTCTGGCCGGGTTCGGGGTGCCTCCATGTGACGCCGCCATGGGAAGGAACCGCTGGGTTCTGCTGTGGTTCTGCAGGGACCCCGGGGAGCGCCAAGTGTCCAGAGACATGTAGTCACTCTGGGGACAGACCACTAAATGAAGCATGGGCCGTGCAGAGAGTTTATAGGGAATGCCACTTTTGCTGAAAAGGCGGGGAGGAAATATGTATTTTCCTATAGTTTCAGAAAGAAACAATGGGAGGAATATTCTCTGGACTGATGTGCGAGGGGCAGGGATAGAAGCAAGACCTGCCTGAAGGCACCTGGTTATGCTCTTGACTTTGGAACCAAATGTTTTCTACAACTAAAACTCAACATTAAAGCCATTTTTAAAAAGAGGACACTAACTGGAATAAAAGAACAGAAGTACCAAGTGGGTGGGAAAACCATAGTAAGAACTGTTTCCAGTGACTTGGAAATAGCTTTTTACTATGTATCCCTAAGGGGCTAAGGACAGCAACCTCCAAAAAAAAAAAAGTAAATAAATATCAAATTCTACTTCAGTAGCCTCGTTAGAAAGACCATTGCTGGTGTTAGGTTTAATTGTGATACACCGCAGGAAAATAGAAATAAGCAAAGAAGTGTATGTTGTTGGGAAACAAAACTGTTACTGTAAAAGTCATGTAGACATGAGCTTGAACAAAAACCTTGTAATCTCTCATTTTAAGTGGAGATGCCAGTGTGGCTCATGTTTTCTTTTCCTCTTCCTAAAAAAATTTTTTTTTTAAAATCTGTTCCTCGGTTTGTCACTGAAAAAGCCTAGGACCAATGGAAACCCAGGAGTAGTGAGCACCCCAGGTGACCAGAGTGTGTGGTCTACAAACCCTTTCTCACTGACAGACCCAGAGTGCTGCAGAGATGTGATGAGTCCAGGTCTGGGGCAAAATGAGCCAGGACGCCCTGTGCCTAAGAACAAAATGCCCTCAAGGATTAGTGGGGTGGCATCAAAATGACACAGTAGCCAGCTTGGAAGAGCCTCTAAACCCAGTGTCCCAATGGGATCACTTGGACATCAGAAGGAATGACTGCATTGAATTGAAATCCACCAAACGTATCGAAATCAGGAGGTCACAATGATACCATGAAACAACCACAAACCTCCTGGGGCACCAACTAATTCTGAAAATAGAATAAGAACCAAGCACCCATGTCTGCAGACTCTATTTTAGGATAACCATGTAGGTGATAGGGAAAGATCTCGAGAGATGACCAGAGCTAATACACGCAGAAGAAACGATAGCATTTGAAAAGCCCCTGTTCCCAGCCCCTCATGAAATAATGGATCTGGGTGATGATCCCCAGGGGCTGCTAAAAGCATTAGGTGGAGGCCGATGGGGAGATTTCAACGGAAGAACTGGGCTGACAGCGGCTGGACAACATTGGAAGAGGGACAGCAGTCCCCGGTCCCTGGAGGTGATGCGACAGGAAGCCAGTCAGAGGACAGAACATTGATAAGGGATCATGGGAAAGGCCACTCGGGGAAAACCAGCCTGCTCCAGCACGTGGAACATTCTGTGAGAGCAGCGACCCAGTTTCTCCTCTAAATAACGTGGGGCGGGGAGTGAATGGGAACTGGATGTTGCCAGAGTCCAAAGAGCCAACCGCAACTGATCCTGATTTGAACAGACCAGCTGTGCAAAGTCGTTTTGGAGATGGGTGCAGAAAGCTAACACAGACTGGGTTTCTTTACGTCCCCACCGGTCAGATTTTGCACCTGAAGTGTTTATGAGTTCACCGACAATGCACTGGGCCCCCAGGCCGTCCCCCTGCAAAGAAAATCGAGGGGTGGGAAACTGAGGCAGGGCGTGTGGAAGCCAGCTCCTCCTGGTGTGTGAGAGGGAGTTGCTAACCGTCCAGGAGTTTTGCAAGCCGGTCAACCTTGGTACCTTGGAACAGCCGTAGTGAGAATATGGATGCCTCAAACATCAGCAGACCCTCCCCGTGAGGAGGCTTGTGTTCGGAGACAAGTCACCCAGCGTGCAGCTGGGGACAGCTTGCTGGTTCTCCCTACTTCTGTTTGTGACATTTGCCACAATAGAGAGATTACCAAGGGCACGTCCCTAAGCCTAGACATCCCGCTGCTGGGAATTTGTCCTGGAAAAGTATTTGAAGTAGGTTCTGTAATTCAAGTGGCTCCAATTACTTAGCTACAAAAAAGACAAAAACAAACAAAAATAACCCTGCTTTTTAAAACATGGGCTTAAACTACTTTTTGAATGTAAACATGCTAAAGATCGCAAAGGAAGAGATTTGGTTTTGAAAGAGGAGAATGTTCCGGTGACTGGCTCTGCATCAGTGTGAACATACCTAACAGCGCTGAGTTTTAAACTGGTCAAGGTGGTAGGTTTTCTGTTATGTGTATTTTATCACAATTAAAAATTGTAAAGACCCCTGGCTGGTTTGGCTCAGCAGTTAGAGCGTTAGACCATGGACTGTAAGGGTCAAGGGTTCGATTCCCGGTCAAGGGCACGTACCTGGGTTGCAGGTTTGATCCCTGACCTTAGTCGGGATCGTGTGGGAGGCGACCAGTCGATGTGTTTCCCACATCAATGTTTCTCGCTCGCTCTCTCCCCCTCCCTCCCTTCCATTCTCTAAAAATCAATGGAAAAATATCCTCGGGTGAGGATTAACAACAACGAAAATTGTAAAGGAAAGGGATCAGTTACGTTATACAGTAGAATAGGGTTGGCAATTATGTTGCAGAAGAACATTTGATGCTATGAAAAAATAAAGGTCTTGCTGGGTGAAAAAGCATGTTATAAAACCACACGTCCAGCTGGGCTGCATTCGGGTCCGTTTTCAAACGCGTGAGCTTGTGGAGCCGGGCTGGAGCGCCAGCCATCGAGAGAGCATGATGCTGGGCTCGGAGACACATGCAAGCTCACGAAATCAGCCCCAACCCCAGGAGCCGGGCTGGTGCTCGCTCGGCCTCCCCTGGGCAGAGGTGGGACCACCTTCTTCCGCCTGCGTGCGCCCCGGGGTATCTGTTTCCCCCTTTCCTCGGGTGTCACGAACCACGTGTGTGTTTTGCAGGCTGTTGATGGAGAAGGGGGCGGATGACAGCCGGGACGGTGGTCATCACCGGGGGCATTTTGGCGACTGTGATTCTGCTGTGTATCATCGCAGTTCTGTGCTACTGCCGCCTGCAGGTACTTCTCGGGGCTGGGGGTGGAGCACGGGGTGGGGTGAACCAGTGGCTCTGCAGGGAGAGGGAGCCCACCACGAAGGTCTGGAACAAAGTGCAAAGCAGACAGCCCTGGCCCAACTCTGCCTGTGGGGGGAGGGGCACAGCTGCCTGGCCCGCCTGGCCTGGGGCTCAGGGAAGGTAAGGGACTTAGCCGATGCCACACAGAGCGCTTGGGCCCTGCTGTCCCTTCCCCACCCGCACTCTAGGGCAGTCTGGTAGGGCGGAGAAGCCACCTGCAGGCCAAGGCGGCACACCCAGTGCCCATGAACTAGGCTGAGGACAGGTTGCCTGGCCCTTTTGTGCCTTGGTTTCCCCACCCGCCCAACAGAGATGGTCATTGCACCAGCCTGAGATGGTTGTGCGGATGAGAGGAGCGAACCCCTCGTGGCAGAGTGCTCAGCAGGGCGCCCAGCCTGAGCGAGCTCCCCGGAGTGGTGGTTGTGGGGACTGGGGTCAGTGCCCTGCCCACCCTGGCCCCTTCCCTGTGGCCCGGGAGAGGCGGGCGGAGCCACGTCAGCAGCCCTCTGCCCACAGTACTACTGCTGCAAGAAGGAGGAGTCTGAGGAGGACGAGGAGGAGCCCGACTTCGCCGTGCACTCCGGCCTGCCCCCGCTGCACTCCAACCGCAACCTGGTGCTGACCAACGGGCCCGCGCTCTACCCCGCCGCCTCCGCCTCCTTCGGCCAGAAGTCCCCGCAGGCCCGCGCCCTCTGCCGCAGCTGCTCCCACGGCGAGCCGCCCACCTTCTTCCTGCAGGAGCCCGAGGACCAGGGCGTGCACAACGGCGGGGACCGCGTGGCCCGCAGGACCGGCAGCCAGGAGGACGCGGAGCTGCCGCCGGGGACCTTCGGGCACCTGCAGCTGCTCAACCCCGACCGCCTCTCCGCCATGCGCGAGGCCTTCTCACGGAGCCGCAGCATCAGCACCGACGTCTGAGCGGCCCCGCCCCCCGCCCACCACACGGGGCCTGAGACCATGGAGGGGGCCCCGTGGCCCGCCAGCCTGCCCCCGGACCCGGGCGTGGCCCCGTCTTCCTCACCGCCCTGCCGTGGCGGGGCCCCGCCCTCGGGAGGCTCTGGGGCCCGCTGCAGGGGTGAGGCCAGCGAAGGGCGGCAGGGCCAGGGTTAGAGGTGCCAGGGCTGGCAGGGAGGTCGGCCGGGGCAGCCCTGGTGAGGACTGCAGAGTGAGGCGGGGCTCCTGACGCCCAAGCTGCCCTTTAGGACAGATGTCGTGGAAGGTGGCCTCCATTTCAGCCCAGCCACTTGGGCATCTCTGGCTGCATGGCCGGCCCTGTCCTCCCTCCGGAACCTCCGTCTACCTACCTAATCCAGGGAGGGGCGGCCACAGCGATGCGCGGGCCCTGCAGCCAGCCCTCCCTGGAGATCTCGGACCCGCTGCTCTGTCCCTCCAACCACAGCACAGGTGGAGGCTCTGTCTCTCCTCCACCCACCCCTACAGCCCTGGCTCCAGGTGCGTGGTGGCTGAGACCCTGGTTGAGCTGGCCTCCGCAGAACCCCTAGAAGGGGGACTTTCAGGAGCGGCCAAGCCTCGGGGACCCACAGTCCGTACTGGCATTTTGATGTAAGAGGGAGAAGAGGCCTTGTCCCAGCCGCCTACTTCGGGACTGTCTGCACAAACAGACACAGCCCATTCCTCAGCCCTGACCTGGTCGGGCCGACGGAGCCGGAGACCAAGGGCTAGAAGACCCACCACCTCCCCGTGAGACCTGGGACGGCTCTCCCATCCCAGGCTCAGCCTCCAGGAGCCCTTCAAGCTCGGGTCCCAGGGAGACAGACCTGTCCTTCCCTGCCCCCCATTTCTCAGGAGGGTCTGAGAACCAGGTAGGCCCCGGACACCCCTACTCTGCTCCGTGCGAAGATCTCAGCTGGGCCCACTTCCCACCACGCTGCCAGCAGAGCTGGGGGTCTCCCCAGGAGCCCCTCTCAGCTCCCTCTCTCCAGCTGGGGAACCGATGCCCAGTGGCCTCCTGGAGAAATGCCCAAACCCAGGGGTGCCCGCCGTGGGGAACCCAGGTCCTCCCCCTGGCGGAAGCAGCGCTTCGTCCCAAAGCATGCCGCCCTGCCCCGCCAGAGCTCGCTGCCTCTGGAGCCCCAGAGTGGGGGAGCCGCTGTCTCCCCAGGAAGATGGACCGACCCCCCAGCCACCCACCTTCCTACAAGACAGACTGAGGGCAAGTGACCGTCCCTTGGCGGTCTTGCTCCAAGTGCGGAACTGAGGCCGCTGGCCTGGACCGGGTAGTGAGCAGAGGCTATTTTTAGGGTTCTCCATCCTTTCCTCCTCCTTCCTTCCACCTCGGCTCAGACTTGCCTCTGGAACCCGTCCCAGAGCTTCCCAGAGTGCTCACACCTCCCCGTCCTTTGTGGGACCCCACACGTTCCTTCCTGATGCATTGGCTTGGGGTGGGCGGGTGGGGGTGGGGTGAGGGCCAGGAGGCGGGCTCCCTGTGGCTGTCCTGTCCCGTGCCCCCATTTCCTCTGCTGCCCTCTGCCCCGTAGAACCCTGGGTCCGTTTGGAATAAAGAGAACACCCTCTGTGCGTGTCCACTCAGCACCATGGCGGGGCCTGCAGGGGGCCGCCGGCTCCCCGGGCAAAGCAGAAGCCAGTAAACTCGCCGCCTGCGGCTCGGGAGGGCCGTGAGCCGCTGGTGCCAGGCTATGCCCAGAGGGGCCGCCCCAGGGCTCGTTTTCCCCGGGGGCTGTGTTATCTTCAAAGACTGGGGACCATGGACCTGGCTCTGAGCTCCTGGAGAGCAGTGGGGGGGACGGGCTGGGTCGCCTGGGGCAGGTGACGGCATCTCTGGGCCTGTGTTAGCGTCGACATGGGGGTGATGATGATGCGGACTGATGTGGCCTTCGGGAAGAGTGGACAGAGCACCGGGCGCCCAGCCTGGCGTCCAGTGAACACACGCCGAGTGTTGGCAGGAGAGGGACATAGGAGAGGAGATGGGGATGGGAGGAGGAGGAGGAGTAGGTGACAGGACACCGCGGTGGGGGCACAGGTCACCATGACTCAGCTCTCCGGGAAACCAGCCCTACCTCCAGCAAGCCCAGCCCCGGGCCTTCAGTGTCACTCAGCCACCCATCCGGAGCCCTGTGTGGTGTCCCTGGTCCCAGTCTGGGAATGGGGACGCGGCCACTCGCCATCCTGCTCTGTCCCCAAGGAGGCACGGCTGGCACCCTCGGCCTTGCTGTTCTGCGGCCGGCAGACACCTGTGCCCTCCTCCCTGCGGTCTCCACATTGCTTTCACCACCCTGGGCGCCCTGGCCTCTCCCTCCAGGCGTCACGCAGGCTGTCACCCTTCTCCACGCGCGTCCCCTGGCACCTGGGAGAACCACTCCTGCTGCTGGACCAGCCTAAACAGCACCTCCCCCAGGAAGCCCTCCTGTGTCCCTGCACCCAGAGTCCTTCTATGAGGTCCAGAAACAGGGATGATGGATATTTTCTGGGCGTTCAATGTGCCCCCCCACCCGCCTTCCTCATCCCCTCTGCTCTGCCCAACACATCCTAGGCGGGGGCTTTTCTCCCGAGGTTCAGATTGTGGAGTTCTTGCCAGCAACACCCCTACACACATCCTGCAAGGCCCCTCCAAGCTCCCCCTGGTCCTCCCAGGCCCTCATGGTTTACTAGGATCCTCCAAGCACCCCAGGTCCCCCACCCCCAGTTCCCCACCATCCATGGCTCAAGAATTGGACTCCATTCTGACTCCAGCACCCGAGTCCTGGTGCCCCCTGAATGCTCCTGCCTGCTGTGGGCTCCCCACTCCACTCCAGCTCGGCAGCCCCCAGCTCCAGCCCCAGCCCTGTTCCCAGGGCCGAGGCCTCCGCAAACCTTCCTGAGTGGGTAAGCTGGGCAGCCCCACCCTGACTCTCAGATCCCCCCAGCCAGAGCCACCGAGAGCCCACGATGCCGCCATAAATATGATCACTTTATTGACACACAGAGAAGTTCTGACGGAGACAACAGGATGCCGCGAGAGAGAGTCTCTTCCGGGCGTAAAGTGCGGTGGGTCCCTCTGGGCAGGGGCAACGACGCTACGTGGGAGATAAAGTTCCTCTGGAAGGAGGACACCTAAGTAGGACCGAGATCGGAGGCGGCACCCACATCTTCCTGCCCACCCTGTCTCCACCCGCCCTGGAGGCAGGCAGGACCTTCCCAGGGCTGAGCCCAAGGTTCAGCCACCCGAGAAGGAAGGGGCTCGGGAGGGGCAGGAGGGCTGGTCCCCTCCGCCTCCGGGCCTGGGCCCGGGCTGGGTGCTGGGCTGGGTGCTGGGTGGAAACCGCAGAGACACCGGGCTCAGGCTCCGAGAGCAGCTGCCCGGAGGGTGGCTCTGCCTGGGGGGCCCACAGGCGCCCGGCGGTGGGGGCTCTCCTTCCCTGGGGAGAGCAGAGGCTCAGTGTCACATCTTCAGCCCGGGCGCCCTGCAGGAGGGTGTCCGTGGGGGGCCCAGAAGCTGCGGTGGCAGGTCTAGGAGTGGGGGGGCCTGCAGGACCGGCAGCACGCCTTGCTGTAGTACCAGTGGCCACAGAGGTTCACCTTGATGGCCAGGGCGCAGTTGGTGCCTGGCTGGTCCTGGCAGCTGTCGTCTGGGGAAGGGAGCAGCGGGGCCACAGGGCGTCAGGATGGGCCCTCCGCTCCGCCCGCCACACACTCACCTCTTCGCTGCTCCGCGGGAGGGCTGAGGCCCGCAAGAGGGAGGGCTGAGGCCCGCACGAGGGAGGCCCTAGGTGACGGAGCCCCCGGGAGCCACGCGTGCCTGCTCCGGGCTCGGGACAGTGGCCTCCCACCCCTCTGCAGGCTCTCGGGCTGTTTCTCTGCCACCCCCTCCTGCCCCCAGCCGTCCCCAGGAACATCACGGATCCTGACAGGTGCTTTGACCTGTGCACGGGGAAGGGTGATGTCCAGGGGCCAGATCTGGAGGAGCCACTGATCTCACACCGGGAGGCCCACAGGCGACACCCCCACTCAATGTAGGTCCGAAGCAGAGCTCGTCACCTGCCCACGATGCCCCCTCGAAGCCCAGCTCGTTCCCCTTCCAGGTGCCCGAGCCGGAGATCCGGGTCAGCCCCTGGCCTCCCTGCCTCCTTCGTGCCCAGACGGGGCGGCCTGGGCTGAGGTCCTGCAGTCCCGCCCCGCCCCAGCTCCTTCCCATCTTCTAGACGAGACGATGCTCTCTCCAAAGCACAGGGCTCTGCATGGCCCTGGGGACCCTGGGCACCTGCTGCCCGTCCTGTCTTTGCCTCCAAGCCAGGCTCTGCCGTCCAGGGGGAGCCTTCGCTCCCCGACATGGCCTGGCTCTGCCCCCCAGCCGTCCGCCTGCTCACCTGGGGGCTCCGTGGGGCAGGGCTGCAGGTCACAGGCCTGTCTGCCGACGGGCTTCACCAGCGGGTCGCAGCCGCGGACGATGTCGGTCCCTTGGTAGCACTTCACGTCCCGCATCCGCACGCCCGCCCCACAGGTCTTGGTGCACTGAGGGGGAAGAGTGGCATGGGGACCCCACCTTCTTGCCAGGCACAGGAGCGCTCACGGCTCGAGGGCAGGAAAGGGCCCTGTTGGCAGCCAGGAGACTGATATCCAGCCCCGCCCAGGGCCTGGTTCTTGGTCCGCTCTGCACCGAGGGGGTGAGCCCCTCCTCTCCCGACGGTCCCTCGGGCTCTCCTGGGCCTCCGATGCCCAGGACACATGGGCCAGGGCCGAGGGAGAGGCTGGCTTCCACTCCGGCGAAAGCTGTGTTCGTGGTGGGCCAAAGCCACCCCCCACCGCGGCTCGCTGTCCAGATGTTGCCCTCGGAAAACCCCGCTAAGCTACCCAGAACACCAGGCACAGCTGCTGACCCCAGTTACCCCGACATCCTCCTGCCAGCAGCCTACAGGCGGTGGCTCCCTCTCGCTCCCCCCACGTGGCTGACCCCACGTCACCCAGGCCACCCTCCAGTCCTGTCTGCAGAGCAGAGTGAGAATTAGCGGGGAGGGCCGCCCGCCATGCCCGCTCCCAGCTCGGGGGCTGGTCCAGTCTGGGAGCGGCCAGAGGCCGGCTTGGCACTGAGCACGGGGGACAGTCAGCCTTGGGTGGACGCCCCAAGGAGCCTCTGGACGTGCCCTGGCGCCTGCTTCTCTTCCCCGGGGCGTGGACGAAACAGCTGGAGGAACAGCTCTGACCGAGCCTGCCACGCCCGCCGCCCATGCCTGCCAGCCACCCCACGTCCATTCACCGGGCACTGCGGCGCCCCTCCCCCCGCGCTCCCAGGCTGTCTTTTGGGCTCTCCCCCTTCTGGGCCAGCCCAGCCCAGCCCAGCCCCCACTCCCTCCCATCATCTGAGGCCAGATGTTCTTCTCGGGGTTCAGGTCGCGGCATGGCTCCCGCAGACCCGCGCTCCAGTCCAGCCACACCCGCGGCCTGCCCACCCTCGCCTCCAGCCACACACAGCCAAGCCAGGGGGCCCCAGCCCTCCTGCTCCCCGTGGCTGAGGCCGCCCGGGAAAGCCCCCCCAGCCCCTCTCTGTCTTCCAGGGGCCCTTGTGCTGGCAACACAGAATGAATGGCCCTGGGCGCTCCAGTTCCGGACATGTCCGCGGCGTGAGCGGCCGTCGAGGAAGCCCCGGGTCTGGGAATGGGGGTGTATGGAGGCCCGGCCCCTCCACTCTGCGAGGGGGCAGCACTCATGGGACTCCACTCACCCCCATTTCACACTTAGAATCTTCACCTCGAGCCCTTACGTTTTAGGATGTGGCCCTACCCGTCAGGTGACCAAGACCACGGAAGCCTCGCGTGTAGTGTCTGAGACACACTGCAGAATGTCGCAGTCACTGTGCTGGGCTTCCGGTCCCACGGGACCCGTGTCATTCACCCTTCGTATGGAGAGCTGGCCCACGAGGAGCCCGGGCCACAGGCAGCGGACACTGTGATGTGTTCCTCACCCCCAGGGGCGCACAGAGACCACTCCGGCCTCCCCGCTCGCCCCTCCCGAAAGCTGATGGCACCATGGGGGGGGGGGGGCTGGGGCGCAGGAGTGGCAGTGTGAGGACACGTGGTGAAGACCCCGAGAATCCCTCAGACAGCAGTCTAGGTGGGACTGTCTCCGAGCCATGAGACAGGCCTGCGGCCCTACAAGCCCCTGGGGCCCTCGAATCACACCCCCGGCAGCCACAGGAAGGGGAGAGAAGAGAACACAGCAGGAGAAATTAAAGAGGCCCTTTTGCTCAGCCAGAGAAGGAGAGGGGGTGTCTGCCCCCTGCCCCCCCCACCTCGGGGGCCCCTGCCCTGGTCACGTTGGGAGAGACGGCACTGGGCCTCCCTTCACTTTGCAGATTCCTCACCCGCCCAAGACAGGGGACCTTCTGGGCCCCCAGGTCTGCCACACCCCCAGCAGCTGCAGAGCCAAGCAGGTGACCACTCCTGCCCAGGGGGTGAGGGCTCCTCTCCTGGCTACAGAGAGGAGACAGCTCAGCTCTGTGCCGCCTGATGGTGGGAGGCTGAGGCCCTCTGCACCCCGGAGGGGCAGGCGGATCAGGAGAGTGGCTGCCCTTCCTTCCGGCTCCCCGGACCCCGTGCACACGTCCCGCCATGCCTCTGCACCCCTAATCCCGCGCCCTGCCTTGACTCTAACTCCTGGGGCCCGGGCGCTGTCTGACGCACCCTAAGGTGCCACCTGGGCTCTGTCTGTCCCACGAGGGGCACAGGTGTTGTCAAATGCACAACTACAGGGCTAACTGCAAGTCCAGAAGCGACCCAGGCTAAGAAAGGCCCAGGCCATGTTGCAGGGATCCCAGAAGTGAGATCCAAGAAGGCTTCCTGGAGGCGGTGGCTCTCGCACCAGCTGACTTGGTAGAGTTGAGAAGCTTTCCGGGGCCAGAAAGCCACGATGGAGGTTGACAAGGGCGCACTTGGGGCCGCAGGGGACCCGCTGAGACGGGATGAGACCTCGGGTCTGGTCCCTGGCCACCCCTCAGGACCCGTGGTCCCAGGCCGCCTCAGAGGTTGGGCGGCGGGCGCTCACCTCAGACCACGGGCTGGTGTACCACTTGAAGCAGGGCCTCTCGAAGCACGTGCTCTCCTCCGGCGGCTTCTTGGCCAGCCCGCACTCGGGGCCGCTGCGCGTCTGCGGCTTCCCGTTGGCCAGCTCCATGCACAGGACCAGCCTCTTCTTCACGCCGCGGCCGCAGGTGGTGTTGCACTGAGGTCAGGGAACAGACAGGGTCAGAGGCCAGAGGCCAGGAGCACCGGAACACGGCCCACGCGGCTCCCGTGCCACGGCTCGGTCGACAGCGATCGGGTGAGATGCTGAGCAACGGCGAACTGACTGAGAACTCTGTGGTCGATAACCATTTGGCCCCAAGTGGATTTGATCAAAAGCAATTTAGCAGAAAACCATCTGTTTTTAAACAAAATGGTTAATGACAATTTGGCCCAAGAGGACAGGGCTAGCGGTCGGTCGCCTGAAACAACAGGGGGGGGGACAGTCGGGTTGAAGCTGCAGGTTGTGACCATGAAGCTGGTCCTGAGCATGAGGAACTGAGGACCAGAAGCACAGCCATGGACTCCTCTTCCATGTTTGGGGACCGTGGGGGCCACAGCAGGGGGAGGGGAGAGGGACAGTGTTAAATCTGCCTGTATCACCCAGCATTTGCCTATTTAGATTGGAAAGTTTTAAGGTGTTTTCCTACCTTTTGTGGCTGTTTCTATTTCAAATTGGTTTTGGGTGAATTGTGCCATTATAACTATGACTGAGCCCTCATTCTGACCAGTCTTGTTCCGGCCGCTTGGCGCTCTGCCCGGAGCTCTCCCGGGCGGCGGGGTCTGCACGGGTCCAGAGCACTCACCCGCTCCCAGTCCTGGGCCAGCCAGTGGGCAGGGCAGTTCTTGTCCCCACAGGGGTGGATGGCCAGCGGCTTGGTCTCCACTTGGCACTGAGACTCGGGCACCACCCGTCCGTCGCTGGTCTTGCAGTACACGTGTCGGATCATGCGGCCCTGGCCGCAGCTTCCGCTGCACTGCAGGGGGACAGCGCGTTAGAGCCCCGCCGCTCCAGGCCCCTGACGCCATTCCCTAGAAGAACACCCCCTGGGCAGCGGGAGGAGCCGTGGCCACAGTAAACACACTTTAAATAACATTTTCCAGTCTAACTAAAGAAATATTACGTGCTTGATGAAAAACACACAGGGAGAAAGCACGCCCCAAACCCCAGCAGGGCATCTGGGCACCCACCACCCAGAAGGGACCCCAGGGGGCATCTGAGCACCTTTCTTCCCCACCAGAGAGAGAAGACAGACGCACAGGGAGAGAGACCGAGGGCTAGAAACAGGGACTGCCGGGCGGGCCAGCTGTTTTCGGATAAAGGTCTTGACTCTCCCCCCACATCCTCACTCCAGAAAATGGGGAGACTGAGGCACAGCCGCGTGAAGCATCAGGACCCACTCTCGCAGGCCTCGTGCCCTGGCCACCCCTCAAAGCACCCCTCCCCGGGACCCTGCCCTCACCGGCCCCCAGTCAGAGACGGTCCACTGCCGGTCACAAGGGGGCCCTGCACAGTCCTTCGCCCCCACAGGCCTGGTGTTGGGGTCACATAGCTTCTCATCTTCGGAGCAGCGGATGTCCCTGGTCACCACGCTGCGCTCCCCACACTTGGCTGTACACTGTGAGGAGCCAGATGAGGGGTGAGGGTGGGGTCAGGACTGCCCATGCACACGGCCCTGACTTGCTCCTGTACACACCGTCCCACCCTGCTCCTGTGCACACAGCCCTGACCTGCTCCTGTGCACATCGTCCCACCCTGCTCCTGTGCACATGGGCCCACCTGCTCCTGTGCACACAGCCCCACCCTGCTCCTGTGCACACGGCCCTGACCTGCTCCTGTGCACACCGTCCCACCCTGCTCCTGTGCACATGGGCCCACCTGCTCCTGTGCACACAGCCCCACCCTGCTCCTGTGCACATGGCCCTGACCTGCTCCTGTGCACATGGGCCCTGCCCTGCTCTTGTACACACCGTCCCACCCTGCTCCTGTGCACACGGCCCACCTGCTCCTGTGCACACGGCCCACCTGCTCCTGTACACACCGTCCCACCCTGCTCCTGTGCACACGGCCCACCTGCTCCTGTGCACACGGCCCACCTGCTCCTGTACACCCGTCCCACCCTGCTCCTGTGCACACGGCCCACCTGCTCCTGTGCACATGGGCCCCCCCTGCTCCTGTACACACCGTCCCACCCTGATTCTGTGCACACGGCCCCACCTGCTCCTGTGCACATGGTCCCACCCTGCTCCTGTGCACACGGCCCCACCCTGCTCCTGTGCACACAGCCCTGACCTGCTCCTGTGCACATGGGCCCACCCTGCTCCTGTGCACATGGCCCCACCTGCTCCTGTGTACACAGCCCTGACCTGCTCCTGTGCACACGGCCCCACCCTGCTCCTGTGCACATGGCCCCACCTGCTCCTGTGCACACGGCCCCACCCTGCTCCTGTGCACACGGCCCCACCCTGCTCCTGTGCACACGGCCCCACCTGCTCCTGTGTACACAGCCCTGACCTGCTCCTGTGCACATGGGCCCCGCCCTGCTCCTGTGCACACGCCCCCACCTGCTCCTGTGTACACAGCCCTGACCTGCTCCTGTGCACACGTCCCCACCCTGCTCCTGTGCACACGGCCCCACCTGCTCCTGTGTACACGGCCCTGACCTGCTCCTGTGCACACGGCCCACCTGCTCCTGTGCACATGGGCCCCGCCCTGCTCCTGTGCACATGGGCCCCACCCTGCTCCTGTGCACATGGGCCCCGCCCTGCTCCTGTGCACATGGGCCCCGCCCTGCTCCTGTGCACATGGGCCCCGCCCTGCTCCTGTGCACATGGGCCCCGCCTGCTCCTGTGCACATGGGCCCCGCCCTGCTCCTGTGCACATGGGCCCCGCCCTGCTCCTGTGCACACACGTACCTCAGACCACTCAGACATCTCCCACTGTGGCCCACAGACCGGGTTTCTGCACGTCTTACGCTCCTCGGGCCGCACGGCCTCGGCCGCCTCGCACAGGTCACTGTACACGGAGCTGTCGAAGCCGGGGGACAGCATCTTCCAGCAGCGCACAATGCGGAACTGGTAGCCCTCGCCACAGGTGCGGGAGCACTCGCTCCAACTGCTGGTCTCCCACCTGCCTCGAGAGGGGCGGCCTTTAGTGACCCCCACCTTCCTTCCCCATGTGACCCACATCCCAAGGGCCAAGCCAGACAGGATACTGGTGGGGCCCCAAGGTGGAGGCTGCTGTGTGGAGACCCCGAGCTCTCTGGGGAACACCTAGGTGGATGGGGGTGGGCACTTGGTGTGGGCGTTTAGCCTGCCCACCTGCCCAGGAGCCGAGCCGCGTCTACCTGCTCCCACCCACCCACCTGGCCTCCAGACACTTTGGGAACCAGGTTCTGGACCTGTCCCCTTGCTCACGCTGGGATCACACCCCAGAGTTCCTGAGCCCCGAACCCCGCGTTCAGACTCTGAGGGGACTGGCAGGGTCCGGGACCACACGCCCTGCTTCTAAGAAAAGAGCAAGTAGGTGGATAGCGAGACCTCGAGGGGACAGGGGAGCAGGCCAGAAGAAAGGGGCGTGTAGCAGAGGGGGGAGCGAGGCAGCGCGCCTCCCAGACTGACATGCAGCCGCAGGCTGGTCCCTGCGGGCTCGTCGGGGCCCCACACCAGCTCCCACCAGGACCGCGACGGGAAGAGGACACGGTTAGGGCTCCATCTCCGGCCATTCACGAGGCAGGACAGGAGGTCGGGGGACTAGAAAGATGGGGCCTCCCCCACAGCATAGGGACAGACGACTGGCTTGGCATTTTGAGTGTAATGCCTCAGGGCCCATAAAAATCCCAGCTGCACCAAGTAAGCCTGGGGCAAAGGTGTCACCCAGAGTGCGGAGCACTGTTCAGAGTGTCTCTCAGGCTGCCACGGAAGGCATGGCTGTGTGACAGGTCACCCTGCGACCCGCCCGGCCAGCCCCGCCCACAGAGCCCGCCCCTCCGCTCCTCTGGGCAGAGGCAAAGCAGAGCCCAGCTCCCCCAACCCCAACACGCGCCCTGCCGGGGGCACTGGGCGGCCGGTACCTGGGCTGGCACTCCCTCCCAGCACAGAACTCCTGCACCGGCTCCGGACGGGTCAGGGCATCGCAGTAGCTGTCGTCCACCTCGATGCCATCATAGCGGACGCACATGGCGTAGGTCGACATGACCCCTGGGTTCAGGACAAGGGAAAGGCCTGTGAGCCACACGTGAGCACGTGGGAGACCAGCGGACGGACCCTGTGGCCATGGGCAAGGCACCTGACTGCCCAGAGCCGGCTTCCTGGCTTAGATCGGGGATGATGACAGCAACCAGCTCACAGAGCTGCGGCAGTGAGGACCTGAACTCCCTCTCCGCCTGTGTCCCAGGCTCTCATCTCTCCTCTTAGCAACCCCCTCGCCCCACTGCATCATGCCCAGGCTGGGCGCCCAGGTCATATGTCACAAATCCTGGCTCTGAAAAAACTCACGCTGGCTTCTGTGAAGGCACGTGCAGCCGGTGTCACTGATTTCCCTTTGTTTAACAACTCCCCTCTGTGGGTGAGTGGTGGGGTGATGGGAGGATCGGACGATGATAGGTTGGCTGGATGGGTGGATGGTGGTGGGGATGGGATGGCTGGATGGGTGGGTGGGTGGATGGATTGGATGGATGGGTGGGTGGGTGGATTGGCATTGGATGGATGGGATGGTGGGTGGGTGGATGATGATGTGGTGGGTGGGTGATGGATGGGTGGATGGATGGTGTGGGTGGGATGGATGGATGGATGGAATGGGTGGGGTGGGTGGATGGATGGATGGATGGGTGGGGTGGGGGGATGGATGGAGGGATGGGATGGGTGGGTGGATGGACTGGATGATGGGTGGGTGGGGGATGGATGGATGGATGGTGGGGTGGGTGGATGATGGGTGGATGGATGGATGGGTGGGTGGGTGGATGGATGGAGGATGGGTGGGTGGGTGGATGGATGGGATGGATGGGTGGGTGGGGGTGGGATGGATGGGGTGGGATGGATGGATGGAGGGATGGATGGGTGGGTGGATGGATGGATGGGTGGGTGGGTGGATGGATGGGTGGATGGATGGGTGGGTGGGTGGGTGGATGGATGGATGGATGGGTGGGTGGGTGGATGGATGGGTGGATGGATGGGTGGGTGGGTGGGTGGATGGATGGATGGATGGGTGGGTGGGTGGATGGATGGATGGATGGGTGGGTGGGTGGATGGATGGATGGATGGGTGGGTGGGTGGATGGATGGATGGATGGGTGGGTGGTTGAATGAATAGGTTGGTGGGTGGGTGGATGGATGGATGGATGGGTGGGTGGGTGGATGGATGGATGGATGGGTGGGTGGGTGGTTGAATGGATGGATGAATAGGTTGTTGGGTGAGTGGATGGATGGACAGATGGATAGGTTGGTGGATGGGTGGATGGGTGGGTGGGTGGATGGATGGATGGATGGGGGGTGGGTGGATGGATGGATGGATGGGTGGGTGGGTGGATGGATGGATGGATGGGTGGGTGGGTGGATGGATGGATGGATGGGTGGGTGGGTGGATGGATGGATGGATGGGTGGGTGGGTGGATGGATGGATGGATGGGTGGGTGGGTGGATGGATGGATGGATGGGTGGGTGGGTGAATGAATAGGTTGGTGGGTGGGTGGATGGATGGATGGATGGGTGGGTGGGTGGATGGATGGATGGATGGTGGGTGGGTGGTTGAATGGATGGATGGGTGGGTGGGTGGATGGATGGATGGATGGTTGGTGGGTGGGTGGTGGGTGGGATGGATGGATGGATGGATGGGTGGGTGAGTGGATGGATGGACAGATGGATAGGTTGGTGGATGGGTGGATGGGTGGGTGGGTGGATGGATGGATGGATGGGTGGGTGGGTGGATGGATGGATGGATGGTGGGTGGGTGGATGGATGGATGGATGGGTGGGTGGGTGGATGGATGGATGGATGGGTGGGTGGTTGAATAAATAGGTTGGTGGGTGGGTGGATGGATGGATGGATGGGTGGGTGGGTGGATGGATGGATGGATGGGTGGGTGGGTGGTTGAATGGATGGATGAATAGGTTGTTGGGTGAGTGGATGGATGGACAGATGGATAGGTTGGTGGGTGGGTGAATGGATGGATGAATAGGTTGTTGGGTGAGTGGATGGATGGACAGATGGATAGGTTGGTGGATGTGTGGTTGAATGAATAGGTTGGTGGGTGGGTGAGTGGGTGGGTGAATAGGTTGCTGGGTGAGTGGATGGATGGATGGATGGATGGATGGATGGATGGATGGATGGATTGGTGGATGGGTGGTGGGTGGGTGGGTGGATGGATGAATGGATGGGTAGGTTGGTGGATGGATGGATGGATGGATGGATGGGTTGGTGAATGGGTTGGTGGATGGGTGGTGGATGGATGGATGGATGGATGGATGGATATAGATCGGAAATCCAACCATTTCAGCCCTTTCCAGCCTCCCCAGACATTCTATCAGCTCTGCAGACCCTCCCTGCCCTCCTGTGCCATGCTCCCGTCCTCATCAATTCCTCTTGAAGCTTCTTTATCCAACGCCGAATGTGTTTCACTCTCCAGGCTCCCCAGGCCTATAACTCTCATCAGGGTATGGCAGGTAAAGGGCCAGCCCTCGCCTCATACTGTTAATTCCTTGACCTGCCTCCACCCTCTACTTCTCTCCTCCCCCAGCACCCCTGTGCCTGGCACCAGCTGGTGCGTCCCTGCCAGAGAGCTAGGGTGACTCAGCATATTGTCAGCATTGGTGAAGGCCTGGGGTTTATTGTGGTTACTGGTGGGGGGGCTTCCTGAGTGACGGAGAACCCTCCTGCTGGGTGGCCTGTCCCCCAGGAGGAAGTCCATTTCCCCAGAACCAGAGAGCCCCAGCCCCTCGCTCTCCCTTCCCTGCGGAGCACGTCTGAAGGCCAGCAGTCCTGCCTCTCCAAGGCCCAGCCCTGGACCGGGCGACGCAGCCTGGGAAGCAGCCCACACGGGGATGCTTTCGTGTTTCTGTGGAGGACGAGCCAGGCTGCAGTCACTGGCCCCTCTGCCAGCTGGGCTGCGCTGTCCGTAACCCTCTCTGCGGGGAGGCTGGCTTCCGGCCAGGTCTGCTGGCGGGGTTCCCGCCTCAGACACCAGCTCCGGGCGGGGAGGGCGGGGCTGGGGACTCGCAGACCCTCGCCAAGTGCCCGATTATTCATTCACTCTTCGTCGAGTGGGGACCTGGCAGGTCCCCAACGAGAGAGACTGGAATTCGAGTCCCAGCACAATCTCTCCCGGTGGGTGACATGAGTACCGTCAGACTTTCCAGGCCCCGGCTTGCTCGTCCCCAAATGGGAACCTCCCTGAGATGCTGGGGGAGGCACAGGACCAGTTTTCCGGACACTGTCTTCAGTAGCTCAGTCTTGAACACAGTGCTTTTCAAACCTCCTCAGGCAGAGAGCCCTTGCTTGAAATTAGTGACGGTAAAACTGGGGTGAGGCTCAGGGTCCCCCCGCTCCGGGCCCCTCGCCCCTGTGTCCTGGGGATGCCCGGACAGTTGGATCACTGATCTCCGAGTAAGAGCCCCAGCCGCGCACCTGATGTCGACCACGGCAGAGAACGTCTTACGGAAAATACGGACAGACGCCCTGTTTGTGGCTGAGCTCGAAGACGGGACATGAGCCTCACTGACCTGAGGGCCCCGCCGTGTGCCGCTGACCCTGCCGGACAGTCACAGCCGGCACATCCCCCCGCCTGGCCTGGCCTCGATGCCCGGGAGACAAGGCTTTGAGAGGGGCCGGCCGCAGTCCTGACCACCCAATGCAGAGGCCGAGTGTGTGGGAGGCGCTGGCAAGGGGCCAGACGCCCGTCTCACTCCCGCCACACCCACCTCTGGACTTTCCAGGTGGGGGCGGGGGCCTGTGGGAAGCAAGCAACTCGCCAGTGCACATGGCGTGGTTGGCACCCCACAAAGCTTGGCTCGTGCCCTCCAGATGCCAGGGGGCAAACAGCACGCCCCGCGCCCTGCTCAGCGAGGTGGGGCCCCAGCTTCCAACCCCAGAGCCGAACATAAGGACCCGTGGCCTCTTTAGAGCCCTGCGGGACCACCTCCTCCCGTGGACCCCCACCCTGAGAGGGCAACGAGGGCTGCAGGAGGTATGGCCAAGGCCCCACCACCAGCCTCATCCACCTCCCTGGCCAGAGACCACAGAGGCATTGAGCTGAGAAGCTGCCAGGGCAGGGGGTGCCTTCTTCCATCTCCCCGGCAGCCCTAGCTGTGGCCCCAACCCAACCAGGAAGGGAGATAAGGGGGCACTAGGGTCTCCCTGCCACCTTTGCCAGGTCCCGGTGCTGGCTCTGACCTGGCAGCGGATCCTGGGGGGGGGGGGCACTGGCAGCAGGGGAGCCCAGTCCTGGTGGCTGTGGCCGGCGTCTCAGTGAGGTGGTGGCAGACAGACGTGGGTTTGAGTCCCAGCTCATCACTAACCACACATGTCTGCCTGTCGGCCCCACCGAGGTGTCTCAGTCCCCCTCCCAGCCCTCCCACGACCAGGCCGTAGAACCAGAACCACGTCCTGGGTCCTAGACCCAGTGGGTCTGTTCGCCCCTCCCTAGGTCTGCTGTAAACAAAAGTGAACTCACCACCTGAGGTTTCTTACTTTTATCCCAAAGGACATTCTCTCTAACAGGGCAGGATATGAATGACAATGATGACGAGCATGAGCGGGGGACTTAATGCCCAGGAGGCCGACCTCACCATGGTCCACGGTGAGCGGGACACACCGACCTGTCCCCGTGGGAAGCCCGGACAGTACCTGTGGTACAGGTGGCACTGCAGGGCTCGTGGGATGACAGCTTCCACCGGTACATGTCCGCCGGGCTCACGCCTTGCTTGCGTGCCTTGGGCCTGGTCCTGAAAACAAGGTCAAGCAGAGAAGAGGTGAGAGGTCACGGCGCTGGCTGGCTGGCTTGTTTACACCGGCGGGTGTGTCCTCATCCACGGGGTGGCCGTGCTGTTCCGCGACAGCACACCTGTCCTGGCCCCAGGCACACCCCCCTTAGGGGGAGGGTGCCCACTGTCCAGGCCGGAGAGACGGGAGGAGCACCAGGGTGGCCCGGATTGCAATGGCAGGGACGCCGGCCCGTCAGGGACTTTGTCCAAGCATCCTGCAGCTTGGCACAGCTCCGGGGGTGGGGTGGAGAATTTGGGCCAAACCAGCATCATTGTTGCCCCCTGCACACATGCCAGCCTCTCACCGTTACCTTCCATTATCCAAGGGAGCCCTTCCCCCACCGCCCCGCCCCAGGAAGGGACATCGGGAGGCAACATATGTGCCCCCCTCAGCCAGGAGTCTGATTGAACAGGGACACTAGCCATCCACCTCCAATTATCAAAATAGCAAATTCAGGCAGATGGGGGCGTGACGTGTCCTGCAGGCCCCTTCCCAGGCCATGGATGCTCCGCGTCCCACGTTCTCCTGGACCCCCGTGTTCTCCTGGCCCCTGTGCTGGGTGGGGCAGGAGAACACGGGGGGCCAGGAGAACACAGGGGGCAGGAGAACACGGGGGGCCAGGAGAACATGGGGGGCCAGGAGAACATGGGGGGGCCAGGAGAACACGGGGGGCCAGGAGAACACGGGGGGGGCAGGAGAACACGGGGGGCCAGGAGAACACGGGGGGGCCAGGAGAACATGGGGGGCCAGGAGAACACGGGGGGCAGGAGAACATGGGGGGCAGGAGAACACGGTGGGCCAGGAGAACACGGGGGGCCAGGAGAACATGGGGAACACAGGGAGCCAGGAGAGCGCAGAGAGACATCAGCAGGTGGAGAGCGGGTGGCTGGTTTCACAGCTCCGCCAAGCCCATGGGGCCCCCCTCACTGGTGGCTCCACACAGGGGTCCCAGGGAAAGGGAAGGTCCCCTGACTGTCCTCCCTGAAAACGAGAGGAGACTCGGGATGCGGGGTGCAGCCCGGTCACAGCTGTGTGCGGTGCCAGGTGGGCACCGGAACGCGGAAGGAACACTTTGTAACTACATGATCACTAACCACTGTGGCCCGAAACTGATACAAAATAACACCGAAGGTCTTCTATTGAAAAACAGAAGAAAACAATGAGAGAAAACTTTAAAATGCCCCCCGTTCCCAGCAGACCCTGTCCCCTGAGAGATCAAAGGACCCGGGGACACCTGGGTGACCACCCGGCTCCCGTGAGCAAAGCCGGGGAGTGGGGGTGGGACCAACTCCGGGGAAGATCACTCCATACACCTGACTTGGAAGACACGGAGCTGTGTTGATGGGGCCCCCCACCCTCCTTTCAACAGCTCTACATCCTCCCCAAGAACAAAAGAGCTGGAAAGGCCCGGCCCAAGCCCCCACACCCCACCGGGGAGAAGTTGGCCATCTTCACCTAATTACACTCCTCCAGCCGCAGGCAGGATGACTCACGCCTGCCTCCGGGGAGAGCAGCCCCTTCGAAATAACCTCCGGATTTTAAGCACAAAAGGTATTTCTGGAAGAACTGCCTACTGTGGACCCAAAGGGGCCACAGGCTGAACCTGACAGGCTCAGGGAGGCCTGCGGGGCAGGCTCCACACTCTGAGACCGAGAGTAGCCCCCCAGGATGGTCTGCCATGAACACCCCCTGACTAACAGCAGGTCACGGCGGGCAGTCACGTCCTAGCCCGTGTTTCCCGGAACGAAGGTCAACCTTTGCCTAAACCGAGCCTGTCTTTTCGTGTATTGATTTCTCACCTAGGGTGACGTACCTTTGGACCAGTAACGTATTTTTTTTCCCTGTTTGGTTTACTTGCTATCCTGCCCCGAGGTGTCCCCGCTTAGCTTTCTCCCGCCTCCCTCATCCATCAGCGATGGCTTTCACGTCATCTGCTGACGTCTTCCCCTTTGATTCTAACGGATAAAAGAAGGGGCCATTCCCGGGAGCGGTTTCTCAATCCCGGGAGACTTTGCTTCCAGGCAACTGCTGTCAGTTTGGCTCACATAAACTCCAATCATCCTTACGGGTTTGGGCATTCCTTCGGTGACACTGCGCATCGGTCAGCACGTGTCACAGGCCGCCTCCTGGAAAACCCTGCGGGTGTTCGTACAACCTGGCAGGTTCGGTCCTTAGAAGTGGCACCAGGGGAAAAACACACAGGAAACGGCTGAACCCCAGCCCTTCACCCACCGCCTCCATTTGGAAGGGAGAGGGTGCCCCCCTCAGCCTTAGGAGGCAGAATGCTAGACTCTGGCTGGTGACTGCCACCCGCGCCGGGACGCTTCGCCGGCGCCCGGGGGTGCGGCTCACACCCCCCGGGCAGGTCCGGCTCTGGTGACAGTGCTGTGTACAAACGCACCAGAAAGCCGGCCCACTGTCTTCCCCTCCAGACTGGGTCTCGCTGGTTCCCAGCGTCTAAGTCCGGTGCCGGGGCCTCCCCCGATTGTTTGAGGCTGTTCCGAGCAGATGAAAATAACCTTTCCTTTCTGAGCTGGCCCTTTGATTGCGCCCTCTCGGGAGCAGACGGACTTCCTGTGTTTGGACAACTCACCCAGACGGGGCTATTTCGAGGCTGTTCCAGCCTGGTGGTTTCCCCGCCTCCCCTGGGCCCTTTATCTTAAAGGACCATCTTTGGGCTGGGCCGGGCAGCATCCTTTGACGGCCACAGGGGGAGCCGCCCCATCTCACCACGCCTGGGCCTTTCTGAGGGTTGACAATCGATCCTATTGATTCCCGGGACCCCACAAGCGCTGGAAACCCAATGTGCCCCGTGAGGCTGAGGGGGTGGGGTAAGATTGAACTGGGATGGGGCAGAAGGGACTCTAAAATGTGGCTTAAGGACCCCAGAGCTTGTGCTTGACCTGGCCAGGGAACCCTTGAGTCCGTGATCTGCTGGGCACCGTCTGACAAGCTCTGATGTCAGGGATGGGGAAACCGAGGCCCAGAGAGGGTCCGAGCCCCAGCTGAGTCACACGGTAAGCAGAGTTGAGATGGTGTCTCAGGTCTCTGGACACAAGTCCTGGAAGGGCCCCTCCCTCACCCTGGAAGTTCAGTGTATCACTGATGGTTCTGTGGACGGAAAAGGGGCCACACACTGACCCGACAAGCTCAGGGAGGCCCGCCGGCAGGTGCAAACTCAGGCCGAACGGAACCACACAGGACGGTCTGACGTGAGTCCTAGCTAAAGCAGTTCATGGCGGGCAGTCGTGTCCCAGGCCAGTACGTTTCCCTGACAAAGGTCAATCTTCACCTTAGCCATGCCTGTCTACTGTCTTCTCGCATCTACGACAACACACCTGGTAACTACCTTTGGATTGTCAAAATAATTTCCTTTTCTCTGCACCCCTCAAGGCACCAGAGACCTAACATCCACACCAGAGACCTAACATCCCCTCATTGTTACTATCATGCTAATTGTAACAATGCATGATACCCACCTGTGTAAAAGAACAATGTATCTATTTGGTTTACTCGGTATCCAGTCCCAGAGGTGTCCCCACTTGGCTCTCTCCCGCCTCCCTCATCTGTCACCCATGGATAACATGTCACCTCCTGACGTCTTCTCCTTGATCGTAATGTGTAGAAACTGCCCCTGTCCGAGCTCCCCCAACCTGCTGAGATTTGGCTTCCTGGCAACGGGTGTCAGTTTGGCTCACGGAACCTCATAGAATCCCTCAGTGTGGACATTTCTTGACGTTAGTTCTGCTCACCGAGCCCTCGCTAGGCATGACTAAGGTGCTCCACGCGGGGGAGGGGGGCCAACACGAAGATCCGGAAACCAGGCTGAGCCCTAAGTAACCAGCCCGTCACAGCCCAGGGCTGGCTGGCTCTGAACCCCAGCCCTTTGCCCGTGAGCCCCTTCTCCGTCGCAGACCCTACCGCCCAAAGCAAAAACTGCCACCTTCTTCCAGCCTCTAGGTCCCGCACCCCCAAGGCCCTCTTCCCGGCGAGCTTTGGCCCGGCCGGAGCAGAGGTCCTGGGGCAGGTGCAGAAGGCACCCAGCCTCCGCCCCGTCCGAGTTTGCAAAGAAAACTTGCACCCAGAGCCCACAGAAGTGCCTCGATGTGCCCACAAGCCCTGTGGCCCCCGGGGAAGGCACGCGCGCCTGGGGCTCAGGAAACAGCTTGAGGCAGGCGCCCTCCTGCCGGCTCACGGCTGGCAGGTGACCCCAAATCTTCCTTCAAACCCAGTCCCTGAGCTCCCAAGGACGCCCGCCTCTGCATCCTCACCCTGGCTAGGGTTCTAGTCACGGTTGTTGTTTAAAGGCAAGGGTGTTCGGTGGGTCCTCAGACAATAAGATAAAATAAAACGCAGAGGCCCGTCCCTGCCCCCCACCCCCACCAGCGCTGCTCAGCCCTGCTCATCTCCCCACTGCCCCGAGCTGCTGGGGCCCTCAGGGTGGAGGGACCTCCAGGGCGGCCCTCAGCCCAGGGGGCTTGTCACCAGGGATGGTCCTCTAGTGCGGATGGTGGCAGCCTCGGGGCACCCTGCCCCCACCTGCCTCTTCCCCCAGGGAGGCTTTGGCCTCCAGTTCCTGGCTTCTGGCCTCTGAGGCCAGCCGTGACTGTCCAGGCACTGCCAGTGGTCATTGTCCAGGTGTCCCCAGGTGCCCCTAGGTGTGACTGTACAGGTGTCCCTAGGTGTGATGGTCAGTTGTAACCAGCCGTGACTGTCCAGGCACTGCCAGTGGTCATTGTCCAGGTGTCCCCAGGTGCCCCTAGGTGTGACTGTACAGGTGTCTCTAGGTGTGACGGTCAGTTGTAACCAGCTGTGACTGTCCAGGTGTCCCCAGCTGTGTCCTTGGCCCTGGGGCTTGATTCCAGTAGACCTACCCGGCCCATTCCAGAGGCAGCTCCAGGCTGCGTGCCCCCCTCCCCACGGCAGAAGGCCTTGTTCCTAATGCCTGATTCAGGCTGAGGAACCTACTGGAACCCCCCCAGTCTGCTCTCTGGCCTGCCCTGAAGGTCGGTGCTGAGTCACCACACCCAGGGAGCAGCCTGGCGCACCCACCTCACGCCCAGCGGCCATGCACGCAGCAACTGTCCAGACAGAGAACCCAGGGCGCCCGACCCCCCAGGCGCCGTGCCCCTGACGATGCCGCTCACCTTCGCTGAGCCCCCGAACCTCTCTACCCCTACAGGGGGTGGGGTGAGTCGATGCCCCATGCAGGCAGCATCCTTAGCCCCAAGCTTGGCTCACGAGGAGGCTCTCACTGTGGCCCTCCCTCCGCCCCCTCCGCTCCTTCCAGCCGGCCTCAGGTCCGCGCAGGCGCGCCCCGCTCTGGGCTGCAGCCCAGGGGACTCTCAGGAGGACACGCTAAAACCCAGGCCTCGGACCTCCTGCTCAGATCCATGGGGCCAGACCCCCACCCCGCGGTGAGGCCCCGCTTGGCCCCCGCCCCAGAGGCCCGCGGACAGGCGGGCAGCCTCCTACCTGGCCTTGTGCGTCCTGTTCCCCGCCATGGTGGGGAGGCTGGCGCTTGCGTTGGGGAACGGAGCCTCTGACGAGGTGTTGGTCACTCTGTCGGTGCTCAGCTCCAGGTAGGACCCATTGAACAGGTAAGCACCGCCCCCCTCGTTCTCGTCATAGTCAACGTAGAGGCTGTCGGCTGGGGAGCTCCTCGGGGTACCCTGCACAAAGATGCCGTTGACCGTGGCATTGAGGGAGCGTTCCTTGGAGTCGGAGCCTGTGCCCAGGAGGTGGCCGGAGATGGCGTTGGCAGAGAGGCGCTCCTGGGAGGCAAGGCGGGCGTCGGCCTCCGGGTCATCCTTGTCCCCCGAGAGAGCTATCCTCGTGGCGTTGCCGTCTGCGAGGGAGACAGGTGCTCAGCTTCAAGCAGTCCTCCGCGTGGGGGGCAAGGGCTGCCCTTGGGGAGGGGGAGGGGAGGGGGGCCAGTGGGGCTGGAAGCCCCCAGAGGCAGGTCTCCGCCCTACGACGAGAGGACACAGATCACCAAGTGGAGCCCCACAAACTGGCCTGGACAATCTCTCGTGGGGAGTCGGCTTGACCTCTGCAGTGGGTTGAAGGGGGTCCCCCAAATGCATGTCCACCCAGAACCTCAGAATGTGAGCTTATTTGGAAATAGGATCTTGTCGGTGTAGTTAAGGATCTCCAGATGAGATCACCCTGGGTTTAGGGGGGGACCTCCATCCAGTGACAGTCCTTAGAAGAAGGGGAGAACACGCTGACAGTCACAGAGGAGCAGGTGTGTGAGGGTGGAGGCAGAGGCTGGAGTGATGCGGCCACAAGCCAAGGACACCTGGCACCCCGAGAATCTGGGGGGGGAAGGACCCTTCCTAGGGCCTCTGACAACTTAAGCTTGGACCTCCGGCCCGTGGAGCCGGGAAGAATCCTTTCTGCTGTCCTAGGCCACCTGTTTGTGGCCATTTATTATGGCAGCCCCAGGACACTGACGTAACCTCTCCAGTATCTTCTGCTTAAAGACACTGAGGGTCGCCCGGCCAGTGTGGCTCAGTGGTCGAGCGTCGACCCTGCACCAGGAGGTCGCCGGTTCAATTCCCGATCAGGACACCTGCCCCCGTTTGGGGCCAAATCCCCAGTGGGGGGCGTGCAGGAGGCGGCCAGTCAATGTTCTCTCATCGATGTTTCCATCTCTCTCCCTCTCCCTTCCTCTCTCTCTAAAATCAATAAAGAAAAAAAATTTTTAATAAAGACTTTGAAGGTCTTAGAAACCCGCTCCCCAAGTCAGTGAGGGGAGTCTCCCCGAGTCTGGCTCACCCTCCACCCGTGGAACAACCCCGATGAGCTGTGGCCATCAGAACAGCTGAACTGCCAGCGCAGGTCTCGGGGACCCTGACTCCGGGTTCGCCACTGCATCTCCAACCACACTTCTTACCTCATCCTGGGGAGCCTGCCCCTCCAGGCTGAGTCCCCCCGCCCCCGCCGTCTCCCATGCCCTCAGCCCGCTAACCCTTACCTGTTCCCCTGCCCTTAGATCAGGAGCCACCCTGCGCCCCTCAGCTGCCCCTTATTCCCTGCCAGAGCTCCTGCGACACCTGTCTGCCTGTCTCTACCAAATGCGCAAGGGCAGGGGCTGTGGGGTCAGTCCGCACTGAGTCTGACCCCCGCCCTTCCACGGGGGCTGTGTGCCGGAGCCGGGCCCTCCCTCTCCGAGCCTCGGGCGCCCTGTCTATCAGGCGGGGACAAGTGCATGTCTGGCAGGAATGTGTGTCCGAGGCGCACACAAAGCCGCACTGTGCCCGCCCAGGACGCCTGCAGGGAGCACCTCTCGCCAGGCTCCTGGGGGTCCGCAGGGGACCGAGGACCTTCCCCAGGCCCCGCTCCCCAGGAAGCCCCTGCCCCACCCGGCCCTCCTCCTGGTTACCTCGGAAGCCTTTTCCCCTGGGGGGTCCCTCGCAGGCCCTGCCGCCGCTGGCCTGTTCACACACCTCGTTGGTCTCCTGGCCCTTGCTCAGACCCAGCTCGACCTCCGGGCCCGGGGGGCCGAACAGCCGGTTGTCCAGGCCCAGCCGCTCGGAGGAGGCCTGGCCGTACAGCGAGCTGTTGTGCTGCAGGAAGCCCAGCAGCCCCGGGCCGTCCAGCTCCTGGCTCTCGGTGCTCTCGGAGGTGGGCTCGGAGAAGCTGTAGTACACGGGCGGGATGCGGTGGGCGTGCGGCGGCTGCCGCAGCGTGTACTCGAAGGTGATGGACGGGCTTTTGCCATCCTGGTTCCACACCTGGGCAGAAGGAGAGATGGGTCCGTCCCTCTCCACCCAGCCCGAGAGGCTGCTGCGTCCCCCCCAGCCCCTCAGCACAGAAGCGTGGAGAGCAGAGGCACCCCCGGGCGGCGGGGCAGAGGGAGCCATCCAGCCCGGGTTCGGGCAGTGAGGGGGCACTGTGTGCACAGAATATTCTAAAATAAGGCCACCGAAGCCAGACCTGCACTGTAATACCACCACGTGCCAGAGACCCTGAGACATGACAGTGTGCCCTCGCTGCGGGAGCGTGACCGCCAGCCGATGTAGCGGTGCCACAGCCCCGGCCGAGGCGGTCCAGCTGGGCTCTGTGAGACTCGCAGCCGACCTCCCCTTCCACCAGCCCTGCTTCCCCTCTCGCAAGCATCCTCAGGGTCACTCCCAGGGACTCCCACCAGGAGGGGTGACGAGAGCCCACCTCGGGGTGCAGAAAGCACCTGGCAGTGAACTGGGGTGAGCGATGGTGGGAGGAGATGAGCTCGTGGGCACCAGGTCTCGAGTGACGGAGAGCGGGCTGGGGATAGGTGTCGTTAAGAAACACGGGATTATGCCCTGGCCAGTTTGGCTCAGCGTTTGGAGCGTTGGCCTGTGGACCAGACAGTCCTGGGTTCGGTTCCCGCTAGGGGCACGTACCAAAGAAACACGGGATTATGCCCTGGCCAGTGTGGCTCAGGGCGTTGGAGTGTGGTCCGTGTACTGATTTCCGGTCAGGCACACACTCAGGTTGCAAGAGCTCGTGCAGGAGGCAACTGGGTGATGATTCTCTCTCTCTCTCTCTCTCAAATCAATAAACATATCCTTGAGTACAGATTTTTTTTTTTAAGGGACTATGGAATGTGGTGGGGAGAAGGACAGCTGAGGGTGATGTCACCTGTACTCTTGAAGGTCAATTGAAGGTCACACGAGAGGCCTCCTGGCACTAAGCAAAGTCCCTCTCGTGTCCTCCAGCGAGGGGCAGAGCCGAGGGAAGAGCCCCAGAGAAGCCGAGTTGGCTTCTCCACCCTGCCAAGCCTGACCTGAAGGAGCAGGGTCTGAGACTGAAAATTTGAAATCTCAGGTTTCCCTGAAGCTTTGGGCCTGAAAAGTGGCCATTCCTCCCTGGGGAAGCCAGCACCTGCCCGTCGCTGGAGATGGCACCGAGACTTCTGCCTTCAAGACTCTCTGGGCCCCCCTCCGGACCTCGGCCACCAGGCCGGTGCCTCGGGTTAAGGCCCACCCCGACCAGTCGAGGAGCACGGGGGCCAGTCAGGGGTGAGGGGACTGGCAGAGGGCCAGGGGCTGGTCCCGGACAGCACAGGCCTGGCCGGGTGGCTCAGCCGGCTGGAGCGTCGTCCCGGACATCAGAAAGGATGCGGGTTCAACTCCCAACCAAGGCACGTGCCCAGGTTTTGGGTTTGATCCCCGTCGGGGAGCACACGGGAGGCACGGGGCTGTGCTCCTCTCGCACTGTCTCTCTCCCCCCGCCCCACGCCAGCGGAAAATGTCCTGGGCCGAGGATTAAGGAAAGGGCGCACGACGAAGAGCTCTCTGGGCGAGCCCAGCCGTGCCGAAGGGCACCGCGCACTGGTGAGGACTCCGGGAGAGGCGCCAGCTCGTCACCAGGACGGTTCTCGGGAGCTCGGAGGGAGGGAGGCGCGGCCACGGCAGTGATGGAAGCGAGGAGGCCTCTGGACAAGCCACCAGCGGACCGGAGGACGTCCTGCTCACCAGAGTGAGGCGGCACCCCTCACCCAGAGGGACAGACAGACAGGGTGGTGTCCTTGTAGGCCGGGGCTGATGGCAGCGGCTGCAATTATGGAAACGCACTCAAGTATCATAACGAGCAACAGGGCTGATGTGGGAGCCAGAGGGCCTGACCCACAGAGAGCTTAGGACACAGCTGACAGGATGAAGGGCCCCAGGGGACGAGCCGACGGGCCCAGAAAAGGTGCCTCGAATCCACAGGAGCAAACGACATCAAGGGCAGGTGATCGGGGAGCAGGCAGCAGCTGCCCCATAAAAATCACCATCTCCGCCCAGTTTTCTGGGCCAGATTCTAGACCCAGAATCCACTGAACAATGGGGCAGCCAGGTCCCCAGAAACAAGGATTCACAACCAGTTCATTATACGTAATGGCGCCCCTAGTTCTTCCCCAGAGAGCCTGCATTCGCCTGGTTGCGCATTCGGCGGACAAATGGATAGACACCGTGGAACCGGGGTCCAAGTTCTCGTAGTAAACCAGGGACCCAAAGCACCATCACTGCCCCTGTCACTGTGAGAGCAGGTGGGTGACAAGTAGCGGCCCAGGTCTGTCTCACAGCATGTCCACGGGGTCCCAGGCTCATCCAGTGCCCAAGAGCACAATTGGCGGTTGGCAGGACGCTCGGGTCGGCTCCTTGACCTCGGGGGTAAGAGCTACCAGAGTGGGGAAAGCCAAGCGGAAGCCATGAACCTGACCCCAACCCCATGCCAGAGCCCAGAGGAGAGGCCACTCTTAACGACCTAAAGGATGTGGGGGCCTTGGGCCCCATCATACCCTCACCTAAGTCAACAAGGCAGGTCCTGGAGGACGAGTGGCGTGGGCTTGCACTGAGACGGGCCTGGAGCCCAGGAGCCCAGACCCCAGGTGAGAGGGGTCCCCGGCCAGGTAAGGCAGAGGTGCCGGCTGGCGTGGGAGAAGGGAACCTAGGTGGCTGGCAGAGGAGAGAATAACGCCATTCAGCCGGGGCCCCCAGACCAGCTGCCTCAGCCCCCAGCCTTCCCGTCCGGCCCCCCAGAAAACAAACCTGAGCTCGCGGGCTCTTCCTGCCCAGGTGGACTGACCACACACAGCAAACAGTGCAGTCGGCACCTACTGGGGGCCCCTTCGGTGAGCTGCCCGGGGTGGTGCCACCAGTCACAGCCAAGCCCCTCCCCAGAGATCCCCAGAGACTGAGCCGCAACCCCGACTCAGCTCCGCTGGCTGAGGGGCTACTGCCGCCCCAGAGCCCCGTGGGCTGGCTGAGGCTCCTGTCACCTGCCTCGCAGCCCAGCACCTTCCACACCCTCCGAGGCGCTGCTCCGGGGACCACGTCCCCCCGCACACAGACCCCCAGCTCAAAGTGTGTTTCGGGGGACCCTGCACTTCACACAGCTCCTCCAGTGCGGGGGGCAGGGTGGGGGCAGTAACAGGTGGCCCCCACTAGATTCTGGGGCCCCTGGGGAAGGGTTCAGCCAGGAAGCAGGGTGGGGAAGGGGCTGGCCCCTGACTCGAGACCCCGCCGGCACAGTCATTGAACAAACTTGTTCTCACACCAGGCCCCTTACAACACCCACCATGTGAGATCCAAACAGCTCAGGAGTGGGCTCTGCCCCCCCACCCCCGTGACCCTCAGCCCCCGAGCCTTGGAGCGCATCCGCACTGCCGTCGATGTTGCCTGGTTTCAGTGACAAGTCTACATTTTCTCGGGACACCAAGCCGAAACGGCCTACATTTCCAGACTCGAGCCACGGGAGCGCTCCCGGCAAGCTGGGCATAACAGACCTACACCGTCTCCTGCCCTCTCCCACGCCCCGCGCACCCCTGACCCCGGAAGCTGGGAGCCTCCCGCAGGGTCAGGGAGAGGGCCAGGGGCCACCAGCCGGCGTGGTCCCTCAGCACAAGAGCCTGGCAGAAGCAGAAAGCAGAAGGACCCCGAGCGCATGAAGGAAGGAAGGAGCGAAGCAGTGGACGGACGGGTGAACGCGGGAGCCCTCCCACGCCGAGTGGGCATGCTGCCCCGGCAGGCCCTGGGCGTTGCGGCCCGGAGGCCCCTGCCTGTCGCTCCCCGAGCCCAGGGCTCACGCACCATGACGTTCAGGCCCTGGTTGGTGGGCCCCTGCGCCACAATGTACTCGATGCCGGTCTCGAAGATATCCATGGGCCGCCGGTACTTGACCACGGTGCCGGCGATGTGGAAGTTCTTCGGGCTATCCACCTTGAAGTTGCCGTTAAAGAAGTAGGAGCCCGCTTCGTCTGCAAGAGCTGACAGAAAGGCCGCGTGGGCAGACTGGCCACCAGCCCGTGACCCTCCCCGCATGCCCCGCAGGCAGCCATGCTCCGGGGAGTGGGACACTCCGTCTGCAGCCAGCTGTGGCCCTGGCCAGTGAGGGCCAAGGACACGAGAAGCCACTTTCCTGTCAGCTGAGACTAAACAAGGACTTGTCTAGACGCCGGGAGATAGCCGGCCCGGGGTGGTCTGGTCCTGTCACTCTGGCTGCCTGGGTAGGTGCTGGGACTACGAGGTGGTGAGTAGCATCGGGACTAAGCCTCCAGGCCTGGAGCGGGAGGGTCAGAGCTGGGAGACAGGTGTCGGCCAGGTGGGGCTGGGCCGTCCAGCCAGGCTCTGCTGCAGACTTCCCGTGTGACCCTGGGCCAGTCGCTGCCCCCAGCATCCCACCCAGACACGGGGAGGGACCTCAGTGCCAGGCTCTGGCCTGGCTGGCCCGGAGCGCTGTCCAGGGGCACCACCAGGCCCTTCCTGAGCACCCCCAGCGGACCAGCCCCCGGATTCTCCTAGATGTGCTGAGGGTGACCCGGGCACCTTGTCACGGCCCTCTCTGAGGCGGGCTGCACGTGGACGTTCAGAAGGAGGAGCGAGGTAGGACGGCCACCCCGGGCCTGACTAACGCCTGAGGAGGCCCAGCCAGCAGGAAGGAGTGTGCGGCCCCCGCAACCACGTCCTGCCGGCCTGGAGACGGCAGCAGCTGCCCAGAGCCGGAGTGAGGGTCCGGGACAGCCGGCCCTCCCTGGGGCTGCGGAGTGTGGTCACAGACGCGGGCCGGGGACAGGCTCCGCACTCGGGGACAGTGTCTTCCAGGAAGCAGCCCACGCTCACACACACTCACACCAGCACCGCAACGTCACCAAGGAACGTGAATGAAACCAGGCCACTCTGTCGGCCCAGCTTCTAGGTATGTGCACGGGGTCAAACCTCCGGCCTGCGCCCAAAACCTGCTTCCTTTCAGCAGTGACCTCCCTTCCTGCGGCTTTCCCAGGGCTCCCGCCGAGGCCACCCTTGATATTTCCACGCATCTGTTTCAAGAACGATGGCTTGGCAGCCAGCTCTGGGAACACGCGTTTCCTGGCCTCACTGCGGGCGACCGAGCGACCGGCCTGGCGGAGCCGGGCTCCCGTGAGCAGATGCTGGGCCTGGAGCGCACAGCCCCGCGGGTGGGTGCGTTTCTCCCCCCAGCCCTGCTCTCAGGGGGCGCCCCCAAGAGGCAGGACGGGAGCCAGGCGTTGGGAACAGCTCCCCCACCCAGGGCCCAGCCTCTGCCTCACAGGGCCAGGCACAGCTGTCAGCGCCCGCCTGTCTCAGCCAGGGGGGCCTCGGGCAGCCTCCTGGGGGCACAGACTAGGCACATGGCCAGGCCAAGGCTCCACTTTCCAGAACTGTCACCAACACGGGGCCTCACAGCCTTGGCCACTGTGCAGATAACTCCAGAACCCCCACCAAGGTCCACCTTCCCACCCGAGACCCCCCAGTGACAAGAACATGAACTCCAGAGCCCCAGACCTCAGTGTACAGCCCGCCTCTACCTCGGGCCGCCCGTGACCTCAGACGGGCCACCTGCCGCCACTCGCTCTGCCTCAACCTTCTCGCATCCCGAGTACTCTACCCCGGAGGCAGGGACCCCACCTCCAACACCTCCAGCTCTGCCAGGCTCCCCAGGGATGAGAAACTCACCACCTGGCATCATGCCTCCCTCCACGGCCAAGCAGCTGAGTACAAGGACCTTCCACGCCTGAGCTTCCCTAGGAACACACTCTCACACTCTCACACTCACACCACTCACACTCACTCACACATCCACACACGCTCACACACACATGCACACACACTCATTCACTCATGCACTCTCACACACGCTCACACTCGCTTACACACACACTCACACATGCATACACACACTCATGCACACGCTCACACTCACATGCACACACACACACTCGCACGCGCACACACACACACACACACACACACACTGGGTGGAGCTCTGGCTCCCGCGGCCCATTGGCTGCAGCAGAGGACGCAGGGTCAGGCGGCCTCTGCCCGTACCTTCTGCCCCATGCTACACCACACGCCCACGTGAGGGTGCCCAGGCCGCGCAGACGTACCCAGAACGTCGGCAGACTTCTTCCGCTCCACAATCTGGATATCTCGGGCGCCAGCCGGGATGTGGGTCACCAGAGAGTAACCTGAGGGGGGTTGGATGACGGTGAGCAGCCGGTCTGGCCGTGGCCACTGCCTCTCAACCAGACGGCAGGTACCGCTCTCCTGTGCCCCTGGTGGGTGAGGGGCACAGTCTGGCTGCACCCAGTCCCCAGAGGCAAATCCAAGGTCCTGCCGAGACAGACCCTTGTGCCGCCAGAGGACTGACCGCTGCCGCAGCACAAGCCAGGTTTACCTGGGCTCCTGGGCCCTTTCCTAGAGGCCTTGGTGATGCCCCTCGGTACCAGCCCCAGCCCCTCCTGAGGGGCCTCGCAGGCCACAGGGACTTAAATCTGCTACAGTCAAACAGCCCTGGGTCCAAGGTGATCCTGAGCAAGTTCCTGGAGCCCCTGGGCCTCAGTTTCCTCATCTGTACAATAAGTGGATGAGAAAGGATAAGGGCCCTGGCCAAGGTCCGCTCAGGGCCTGTCATCAAAGCCCCAGGCAGGCAGGGAGGCGGCTAAAAGACTCCACAGAGACCCCAACAAAGGGACAGGAGCCATGAGAGGTCTGAGGACAGGAGAGGTGCTGTCGGCAGGTGGTGAGGGGGTTTGGGGAGGAGGGAGAGAGACTTCTAAAGCCCTAAGACAGAAAGGCCTTCCGGAGACGGTGAGGGCGTCTCAGAAACCTGTGTGCTCACGTCACAGGTTTCCACGCAAGGGGTCGCGTCCACGTGCACCTGTGCCCAGGTGAGCTGCTCCCTGCCCTGCGCCTCCCCAGGCTCCTGAAGGCCCTCGCTGTCCCTCCTGCCGGCAGTGCGCTGGCTCTCGGGGTGGGGGGCGTGAGAAGCTACAGTGTTGGCCAATTTCTGTGGTGTAAACACTCCCGTGTGGCCGACGGAAGCTCCCACTGTGATGTCACTGGGGACACAGCTGGGAAAAGGTGGCATTTCCACTGGACAAATGTAAGTCACACAGGTGAGTGACCAGGAAGTGGGGGCTCTGTCTAAGCACCCTTATTTAAACGCAGGCGTCTAGACGCTCATTTTTAAATGAGTAAGCAGCTCACAAGATTCGCGAGCGCATTGGCTCTCACACGGCAGGCCCCCGCCACGTAAGCGCACACACATGTACCAGGGAACAGTGTAGGTCAGTGGTTAGGACCACAGACCCAGAAGCCAGGGCATCTGGGTTCGCATCTGGCTGTGTGACCTTAGACTAGTTTCCTAACCTCTCTGTTTTCACTTTTGCAAATGGCAACAATGGTACCACTGGCCTCGTAGACCTGGTGTGAGGTGCGAAGGAGGTAACTGGTGCCGGACTCGGCTTGGCGTCCAGAGGGCACCCGAGAGGAATAGCTGGGGTTCAGCGACAGCCCCCATCCCCCACGCTGAGAGTTCTGTGAGGGCATGAACCTCGGCTGCACAGGGCCTTCCTGCAGCCTCAGGCCTGGCACACCGTAGGCACTCAGAAGGAGGCGCGCTGACGGAACGCCTGCCTGCTGTCTCCATGCCCGGGAGCTGGCAGCAGGCCCTCCGCCCCCTCCCACAGCGAGGCCTCCGAAGACAGCAGCCTCTGCCCACCACACTCACAATACCAATACGTCGACCCCTCGAGAACACAGACTCTACAGAACAAGGCACCCCAGGATCTGCGTGCCCAAACTCAGATCTATCAGTGGTGAGGGTCTGACTGGTGCCTCAGTTTCCCCTGTAAGCATGGCATTCATATCTCCCTGCATTGATGCCAAAGTCAGACGTGGCCCCCGTGCCAAGTGTGACTGCGGCGCCCATCCCGTAGGTGCTCAAGGAAGAGCTGCCCGCCCTGGCCGGTTTGGCTCAGCGGCTGGAGCGTTGGCCTGTGGACCAGAGAGTCCCGGGTTCGGTTCCCGCTGGGGGCACGTACCAAAAAAACAAAAACAAAGAAAGAGCGGCTCGCTACTCCCAGCCAGTGGACCTTCCAAGGCACCGGGCCGCCCCCTGGGCCCGGGGGCATCACGTGGCCTGCGGGGGCAGAAACCTGTGCGGCGACCCTCGGCAGGTCGGAGACGGGACCCCTCGGGGTCCTGGATGTGGGAGCGGCGACGCTCTTACCGAGGTTGGCGTTCCCCTTGCGGTAGTTGCCCGTCACGTGGGTGCAGCTGCTCCCGTCGCCCTGGCAGACGCCACACTTGTCCAGTGTGTGGGTGGAGAAGAGCACCCCGTCACAGCCGATGGGCTGCAGGAAGAGAGGTGGAGGGCTGCTGGGAGTCGCCAGGGCCCGGGCCCACGGCCGCCGCTGACGCGGGCAGACAGGTGGGCGCCGGCGCAACGAGAGCAGCGGTACGTGTGCTACAATGTTTAACAACCTCACATTTTCCAGACACGCAAACCCCTCGCAGGTCGGTGAGCTTGCAGGACGTGCCGTCGCGGGCGGGGACCATGAGCTGCCGCTGGCCGTCCACCGTGGTGCAGTGCAGGTCGCACGGCTTGCTGGAGATGTGGACGTAGTCGTCTGGGGGAGACAGGGGGCCTCAGGATGGATGGGGGCCGGACTCGGGGACTCCCCTCTTCCCGCCTGGGAGACAGTGCTCCCCCACTGCACGGATGAGGAAACCGAGGTCTGGAGAGTGGAAGGGGCCTGCTGAGGGTCTCGGGGGCAGAAATGAACCAAGACGCAGGTGGTCTGGTCAGCCAGGCTCTGTACGCTCCAGCCTCTGCCTCCCTGTGGGCGAGGACAGCTCCCCTCTGCAGGAGGGGCCCTGGACACCCGTGAGCACGAGTGGGCAGCTCATTTACCTGCCGCCTGGACCACGCAGGACCTGTGACAAGACCCCTCCCTCCGGGCCAGTGTGCCCACCTGCCCACCCGCTGGCCGAGGACATTCCCTCCCGCTGTCCCCAGGAGCTGACCCAGCGGGTGTGGGTCTGTCCGGGGTTGGGAAGGGCGCCCACACCCCGCCCGCCGGGTGGCCCAGGGCCGCGGTACCGGGGTACAGGGGCTTCCACTGGTGCGTCCGCCCGTTGTACACGTGGGAGTTGAAGGAGATGCACTGCTCCTCGCGGAAGCTCCTCCCGTCGGGGGGACACTCCTGGGAAGTGAGGACACGGGAAGGAGGCTCCGGGAGGAACTGGCCCACAAAGGCATTTTTGTCCGGCTGAGCAGGAAGCGGAGCACGGCCTCCCGTCCTCCGGGGGAGCGAGGCCGAGCGGAAGGGCAGCCAGCGGCCCCCAAACGCCCACGTGTGCTGGCCCACAGGGCCCCAGGGGGTCCCCTCTTCTTCCTGCCACCCCAGCTGCGCCCTGGCCTAGGCTGTGCTGTGCCGCTTCCCCGCTCGCCCTGTGTCCTCCTGCGTGTCCCCGGCTCCTGGAGCCAGGTCCCTGGGTGACCGGCGGGAGGTGGGCTTGAGGAGGAGCCCGGGGGAAGGAGAGGCCTGGGTGGGGCAGCCGGTCACGCTGGGGAAGGGCTGGAGCTTGGGTGGGTCTCCCCTGGAGCTCACAGGGTCCAAGAGGACAGCGGGCCGGTGATGCCAACCCAGAGGCAATGGCCACTTGGCTCCCTTCGGCCCCTAATTCCCTACGTGTGTGCACACACAGACACACACAGACACACGGACACGGGGACTCCCTCGGAGACCCCAAAAGCTCTGCCTCTCTGCCCCATGCCCTGCAGTTCAGGTCCACACTGGCTTTGGCCCCACTGAGGGCTGCCTGAAGGCCAAGCCAAAGTTGGCACCTCCTGGCCGGCCCCAGGACCTTAGTGCCTGCACACAGAAGCCGGAGGGGGTCTCCTGAGCACAGAGTCCACTGCACAGGGGGCTGCTGGGGGCTTCAGTGTTTCACAGGTGAGGACAAGTCACCTGGTGACTGTCAGTCTCCCAGTGAAGTCCTGGTGCAGGACTTGGCAGCAAAGGGGGGCTTCAGCCAGAGGCCCCAACCCTGGAGCAGTCAGTCCGCCCGTCCCTGCTCCTGCCGGAGCACACGGTGGGCTCCCCGGATCTGAGCCCACGGCCCCTCGCCACACCTGTCTTCAATAGGATGTCAGCGGCCTGCCCAGGACAGTGTCCAAGACCACCTGCCTGGGGGCAGGAAGGACAGGGTCAGGGTCCCAGCCAGGCCGAGCCTCACCTGCACCCGGCACAGCTGATAGCGCTTGGACGTGCCCGTGCAGGTCCTGTTCCCGGCGCTCGCGACAGACGTCCTCCTGCAGGGAACACATGGGCTCCGAGCTAGTGCTGGGAGCAGCCAGCCGCAAGCCCCACCCTGCTCTTGCTCCCCAAGTTCCCCCATTCCTCTGACCCAGGGTCCTTCCTCCCCACTCAGCCCCACCAGGGCCCTTCCCATCGCACAGGGGTTCAAGCAGTTTGAGGGTGTTTCCCAGCCCCTTCCCAGCAGAGGCGCGGTATCCGATTCACCTCCACCCGCCATGGCATAAGGCGGGGTCTCAGCGCCAGAATTAATAATGACAACAACGACGTCCGCCATGTCCCACCCTGTGCTGAAGCGCACACACGTGTTCTCGTGTACTCAGAGGGGCCAGGTGGGCTCCAGCGTGAGCTCACCCCACAGATGAGGCAGCTGATGCTCAGAGAGGTTAAGTGACTTGCCCAAGGTCACACAGGTAGGTGGTGGCAGAGGCAAGGTCTGAACCCAGGTCTGTCTGAAAACAGAGACTGCACCGTGTTTTCCCCCGTTTATTCAACCCAAGTGTACAGATGAGAGGGCCCCGATGGAGCCTCAGAAATGTTCTGCTCCCTCAGGAAAGGACAGGGTGAACCCCAGGACGCCGCTGGCCAGGACCCTCAGGAGCCGGGTCCCTGACAGAGGCCAGTGAAAACTGAGCCACCCCTGGCCTGTGCTGCTTTGAACTAAAAACACCCTTCCCAGCCTGAGACCCCCTATGGCCCGCTGCCCCGACGGACGACCGGGCTGCCCCCTCAGGCCAGCCCTGGGGTCCCGCTCCAGCACCCACCTCTGCTGGAGGCAGTGCCGCTCCCGGGAGGTCACCCCGGCCCCACAGCTGCGGGAACACGCCGTCCACTTGGTCCACTCCCCCCACCAGTAGGCAGTGGCGTCTGCGCCCCCCTCCAGGCTGTTGGACGCCGGGCCGTTGTCCTGGGTGAGAGCCCCACAGATGCTTAGAAGGCTGCATTCCAGGGGGGACAGGCCTGCCACCCCTGGGCCCTGGACAGGACCCCACGGGGCAGCCTGGGCTCGGATTTCTGGGACGGCCCTGGAGGGGATTCCCAGGGAGCCGCGGCCCCGGGTCCTGCCCATCTTGAGAGCTGGAGCACCTGGGAGCTCAGCGGGTCCTGAGGACTTACCGCCCACCCTGACTTCCTCCCCCCAGCAGCCCAGGGCCCAGCCTTCCCACCGATGAGCCTCGCCCCAGGACTCCACGCGGAGGCCCCTCCCTGCCGAGAGGCAGGGGCTCCAGAGAAGCCAGAGGCCCCCTCTCAGGGGTCGGTCCGACTACGTGTAACTCGTGTTCCTGGCAGCTGAGGGGGGCTCTGGGAAGTCATTCTGGGACCCCTGGACATGTGCCCCACAGCCTGGACACCGGCCACACAGCCCCTGTGACATCAGCACATCTGGGTGAGGGACCGCGCTGCCTACTCACCGTGGCCCTGATGGACGCCACACCTCCAACCACAAGTGCCACAGCCAGCAGGGACCAGGTCCAGCGTGAAGGCCACCGTCTGCAGTCCATCCTAGGAAACAAGGCCACTGTCACTGCCAGGCCAGGTCCGGTTCCTCTGTCAGCGACCAGGGTCCACTTGGGGAGAAGCCCTCAGGACCCACCCAGTGCCAGGGCCACGGGGTTATCTGGGATCTGTTGGTAGTGGCTGCCCAGTGGCCCTGGTGGGAGGGCTCGGTGATTGATTAGCAATGCCTGCCACAGGCTTGAGGCACAGTGATGGTGGGGTGCATGCTAAGCCCACAGCACCCCGATCTGAGGGCACATGGGGGCTTGTGCCGTGCTTTGCCTAGGAACACCTGAGCGCCCTGGGGAACACTGTGGAGGAAAGCAGGGACAGCTGAGGGGGTTCGGGCCCAGGCTGTACCCACTGGTGAAGGGCCTGGGACCAGCCTGGCCCATCGCCTTGGCCCAAACCCGGCCCAGCAAGAGCACCTGGGGATTTGTACCTGCTCAGGGCCTGCTGGCCATGTGGGAGTCACCTTCTGACGGTGGGTCCAGGGATGTCCCTGTCTGGCCACAGCTGCCCCCTGTCCCTGAGGGTCTGGGCCAAGGGCCCCCGGGGCCCTCAGGCTGGGCAGAGCCCCAAGGTTTGTGCCCCTGGCATGGAGTGTGAACGGCCCAGAGCCTCAGGGCTGTCTGCTTCTACAGCAGTCAGGACCCCGGCCCAAAACACAGCATGACCCCTATTGGAGGGGCCCCCTATTGGAGGGGCCCCTAGCCCTCTGCCCCTTGGAGGGAGGAACGGGAAGGCCTTTAGTAGCCTCTGTCCAGGGTTTGTTTCAGGACCTGTCACTTGCCAGCCAGTTGGAGAAGAGGCTTCAGAAACCACCAAGCCCATCTCCCTGTAGCCTGGAACCCAGAGAGGGAAGCCGACTGTCCCAAAGCCACACAGCAAAGTGGCAGACCAGCCCCCGGGGCCCAGAGCAAACGCTGGGACTCATCCCTACACAGGCCAGGTCCAGGGCAAGAAGGTGTAGAAGCCCCCCATCCCCGGTCCCGCAGTCAGCTCCTCTGAATCTGCCCCTCCCTCCCCCAAAGCCTCACTCCCTTGCAGCTCAAGCACCTGTAGGTCTCCAGGACCTACACCCACAACAGCCTTGCACCCCAAGAATGTCCTGTCCTGGACAAGACAGCAATGCACACTGGAGGTTGGAGATGGAGACCCCACCTCACCAACTGCCTGCCTGCCCCTCCCCCACAGACCTCCCTCTGCAGCCCCCCACCCCCAGCCTCAGGCAAGCGGAGCCCCCTCCGAGGTCCCATTGGCGAGTCGGTGCTGCAGCTCCTGCCTTCAGGCTGAAGACAGGTGCCGAGCCGGCCTCACACTTGGTTTTCATTAAGGCTCCAGACACCGCTGGCTACAGGCCAGGCCCGGCTCACGCGGGATCCAGCCCTCCCTGGGGTCCAAACACAGCCACTGGCCAGCGGGAGAGGTTTGCAGCGCACAGGAGAGCTTCAGGTATCAGAGGCTGGAGGCCGAGGGGCCACCCTCCCTGTGCTCGGAGGGTCTGGACCCCTCCCCATGGGCCCTCCTCCTGTTACATAACCTCCGAGGGGGCTGGGGGATGCTCAGGGACTCGGGGCTGTGCAATGCACCCAGGCAGAGCTGCGGCGAAGCAGGCTGGGTGGAGGTGACCTACCTGTCCTGGGTCAGCAGGTTGTCCTCCTGGAGAAAGGGGCTGAGTGGCTGTGGGCAGGCGGCGCCAGGTGTGTGTGCAGGGGGCTCCTGGGCGTGCAGAGAGCTGTGGGCTCTGCCTCTCCCCTTCCTCCTCCTCCCCGCCCTCCTCCACTTCAAAGAGCACCCACGAGAGGGGGTTCCCAGGGAGGCGCGCAGCCCAGTGGCGGCTCTGCGGCGCGGCGGCCTTTATAGCTGTCAGGCAGACAGGGAGGAACTCACACTTCCCACCAGGCTGCTCCCCCGCCCGCGCCGGCCGGCCTGGCGCACACTTTAACCCGCTCCGCGCCTCTGGAGCCCGGCCAGGCCGGCCCAGCTGCCTGCTGCCTGCTGCTCAGCCCAGGAGCCGGGAGCAGGGAGGCTGTCTTCCCAGGTCCAGAGCTCCGGGTGGCGTGTCCGGGTCCAGGAGCGGCCGCTCGCCTGGGGTCACAGCAGAAGCCTGGTCTCAGCCTGGCTTTCTCTGCCCCCAGGAGGGCCTGGTCTCTGGCACTGCTGAGATGGAGTCTGGGGTGTATAAGGCATGTGGTCTGATCGCTCCATTTCACAGATGAGAAGACTGAGGTCCAAAGGGGAGCCCACACTCCGAGGTCACTCTGCCAGGCTCTGAAAGGTTCTCCTGAGAGGCAGGGGTCTAAGCGGTGGAGGGGTGAGGGAGACCCAGGAGGGCTCCGTCGAGGGCTCCGGGGAAGGGACAGAAATGGCCAGGGCCAGTGAGGGGAGGCGCAGGGAGCTCCGTGCAGATGTCCCACAGCAGCCTGGCGGGGCACAGTGGCCTGGCTGGGCCCCAGCCGGCTGGGCAGCCCCGGGCAGGCAGGCGCAGGGCTCCAGGCCTGTGTTCCCGCTGAGTCAGAGCCCAGGGCCCAGACAGCGTGATGAGCGCTCTCCAGCCCCAGGAGCCAGGCAGACCCCAGACTTCGAGAGACTGCCCCCAAGGTAGGGCCAGGACCGCCCCCTTGCACACTGAGCTCCCCAGAGCCCACCGCCCTAGAACAGAGGCCTCCAAATGAGATGGGGGAAGCGGGCAGAACTTGGTCTGGTCTTCTGGGCCATTTCATCCCTCGCCTGCCTCGGGACCGCGGATGACACAGACCCACAGTGGCACCTGGAAACCCCTCCCTCTCTCCTCCCTGCCAGAGGGACTGTGCTGATCTCCCTCGGTGGCCTCCTTAGCAGCAGAGGATTGTCCCCCCTGGGAAAGTTCTACTCGGTGTCTGGCCGCCAACAGGAATGATGGGAGGAGAGCACCCTGCCCTGCACTGAGTTCTTCCTGTGCCAGGAGCTGTGGGGTCAGCACCTTTGTCATCCCCATTTTACAGGCAGAGGAAGTGAGACTCCGAGTGATGCCCAAGGTCACACGCCTGGCAAGGGCACACCAGGGAACCCCGTTCTCTTGCGATCACCTCCTCTCGGTCTGCAGGGCTGTCACTTCCATCGCCCTCACCCCTGTAATCCTGGAGGAGGAAGGTCTTCCTTGTCTTGTTTTCCCTGGGGTCCCTGGGATGTTCCGTGGGACCAGGACTTGAGCCGGGGCCACACTGCCCCCTGGGGTCGGCGTGCTGCAGCACAGACCCGATGGGACTCCCTCTCTCTCTCCTCACTCTTTCCCCTCGAAAACACAGTACAGATCTCTCACTCCGGAAGCCTCTGCCCCTCTCCTTCCCCTCCAGCCTCGCCCATAAGCACCTTCGTCCTGAGCTCTCCATCCCGCCAACATCAGGGTGACTAACGGCTTCCCGTGGGAGGGACCCTGCAGCCACCGCCGACCAGACATCTGGAAGACAGGCCTCCACACCCCACCCCTGCTTTGTGACCTCCTGCAGGTGTGTGGCCCTGGGCCTGCCCTGCTTCCACCCCACCCCCTCTGCCTCCAGGAGCTGGCTGGGCCCTGAAACCCTAGGAACTGGGGCCTTGGAGACTAAGGCACGGGCAGGAAGAACCTCCGAAGGCCGCGGGTGCCCGGCGTGCAGCTGCCGTCCGCCCTGGGGGGAGGTCGGGGCAGCCCTCCTGGCCCGGCAGGCCTCAGGCGCCCTGGGACCTGCCGCACGGGGCCCAGCCTGGCTTACGAGGCAGGGGCCCAACGTGCCCGAGGAGCTTGGCCCGCGGCACAAGTGACAGGACTCACGTCCCGGACGCGACGTCTGCGGCCGGTGGAGCAGGGGCTGCAGCAGGTCTGAGCCTCGCGGGCACGGCCCTGCCTCCACCTCCCCGCCGGGTCTCAGGGCGCCGGCTCAGCCGCTCTTCCCAGGGGCCCAGAGGAGACGGCGCCCACAGCAACTGAAAACACCCGATCGGCTGGGCGGGACGTGGAGGAGAGAACGCGTCGCCCTACTTTCTGAGCAAGGACCCCGCATTTTGCACTGAGCCCCACAGGTCAGCCAGTGGCCCTCCAAGTCGCTGCCTCCTGGCCCCATCCCTCCTGTAATGCAAATGGTGCCCGGGCTCCCTGGGGAGTCACTGAAATACATTCTATCAAGCCCCCCATTTTAACTCCTGCTCCCCCTCTGTGGAGCCCTTCTTTTGCAGCCCCATTTGCACTTGCTTGGCACCCCCAGATGATCTTCCAAGGCCACCTCCTCCAGGAAGTCCTCAGGTGCCCCAGCACTTTGCTTGGCTTCTCATACTGGGCCGGAGTCGCCCCCCCAGTCCGCCCCAGAGTGGGGTCTGCTCCTGGTTCGCACTGTGTCCTCGCGTCTCGGGCGGGGCCTGGGTAGCACACAGTAAGGGCGGATGCGTCGGAGGGGGTGGGGGGCTCCTGGTGCAGGCCTCCTCCACCTTTTGGGGGGAGAGCAAGCTGTGTCCTCTACTCTCCCCAGGCAGAGCTCCCTGCTTGCCTCGAGGTGGCCCCACCCCTGCCCACACTGTCACCCATGAGCCCTGGGTGGGGAAGGGGTGCTGGGGACACCTGTGTCACAGGAGACTGTCTTACCACAGAGCCTTCCAGGTGTCTGAGGAGGAGCTGGGACAGGAAAACGGGCACGTGTCTGCGGGAAGCGGGGGAGGGGGTGAGAACTCCAGGCTGGGGACAGAAGCAGGCTCGGGAGAAGGGACGGGGCGGGGGAGGGGCACAGCGGGCCGTGTGTGGCTGGCCCTGTTCTGCACAGCCAGGTGTCCAGAGCGGAGCTGAAGGACCTCACACATGGGCTAGAGCATCACAGCCCACCTCTGCCATCACCCCGACGTCCTGCGTGTCCCCTCCGCTGCAGCCCGGAGCCCAGGGCAGCAGAGTTCTCGCGTTCTCGCACCCAACAGGGACTAGGCCACCAAGACCCCATCTGGCCAGGCCTGGAAGAGGGCCCGCCCCAGTGGGCAGCCCCGGCAACCGATCTCTCCCCACAAGCTCCCTGCCCAGCCTGGGCCCAGGGGTTGGACCTCCGGGGTCAGCCACGGGAGACGGGACCACGGAATGAACTCCTCAGTCTCCTCCTCTCCTGCTGTCTTGCCAGGAGCTCTGGGGCTGCTGCTAGGCCAAGTCTTGAAGTTCAAGTGTGGGGACTCAGAGGGGTGAGGCCTTTCCTGCTCTCAGAATCCACAAGAAAGAGGCTCCTTTGTCCCCAAATCTAGAGCGAGGAGGGGCGGTGAGAAGCCCGGCGTGGCTGGAAGTGAGCTCGCTGCTGGGACTGCGGGGACAGGCCGCCCCCGGGAGCGGGACGGCGGGGCTGGCCGAGCTGTCTGCACGGCGTCCCTATTCCCTCGCCTGCTCGGCGGTCCGGCCGAGCCTGGCTGCTCGGGGCCCAGCTCCCGCGGGGACAGCAAGGACTTTGGTGTCTTTCCAGTGGACCTGAAGAATCCAGCAGGACGGCCTCCTGCCCATGAGGGCTCTCCAACTCTATGCCACCGGGCCAGTCACCACGCACAGGCTGGGTCCCCAGGAGCTCTGCCCCCTCTCTGCCCCACCCCTCTACACCGCGAGGAGGGGGTTCAGTGAACGACAGCGCCCTACAACCGGGCTGGGGAAGCAGGTGGCGGCTTGGCTGTTCAGGGCGGGCAAACCTGCGTTCTGGTCCCAGCCTGTCCCGAGCTCCTGGTTCCCACGAGCAGCCGTGGATGGTGAGGCCGCCTTTCGAAGGACAAGACCCCCCACCCCCCACCCCCCACCGTGAGTTTGTGCTTTGGTGGTTTTCTGAAGACACTCACCCGGGACTCCCGGGGCCCGGCCGACCCTGTGAGGCAGATGAGCTCAGGGGTTCACAGGGCGAAGGGGCGCCAGGCCCCAGAGCGAGGAGAGGGCGCCTCCACCTGGCTCGCCTGGCAGGTGTGCAGGGGCTGGGCGCGGCTTGCGCTGACTTTCGGCCTGTGGTTGACGACAACACGATTGCGGTCACAGCCCAGGTGCAGACACACAGATAAGGGTGACATGTGGGCTGGGACCCCAAGGAAGGAGGTGGGGCAGCAGAGCCCAGACCGCCCCCCACCAGGTGCCGAGGGGCCTCAGAGGACCCCTATGCGAAGAGACACGAGGGCCACTGTGCGCTGGGGTGGCCAGAGCTGCGGGTCGGGCGCTCAGACTTGGAGGACGCAGACACAGAGGCTGGCCCAGCAACCCCAGGCCGGGCAGGGCAGACAGACAGCTGTCCGGGAGCCGGGAGCCGGGTGGCATTCCGGGCATTTCAGCGCCTCTATAAACTGCCCGCTCCGGCCCGAGAGGGTGAGAGAAGGGGGCGCGGGCGGGCGGGTCCCCCTGCCTGCTCCCCACACTGTGGCTGCCAGATAAGGGCCACCCCATCCCACCCAGGACTGGCCCGGGCTGGGTCCCGGTGGGACGGATGCCATCTGGTGGGCAGAGCTGGGACGCCGCAGGGCGTGGGGCTCGGGGAGAGCCGGAGCCACCGCGTCTGAGACTGGTCAGCACGCGAGCTGTGCTGGGAGCGTGTGCCCCAGGCCAGCTTCGCACCTCGCTGGGCCTGCCTCCTCCTCTGTGCCATGGGGAGAGCAGAGGCATCTCCCAGCCCCTGGCTGCTGACAGGGCCCGATGGGACAAAGTAGGAAGAGGGCTTGGCACGGAGCCCGGCACACGGCCAGCGCTGAATAAATGTCTGCGTGTAAGTGGTTTTCAAGACGTAGGCGGTGCGCCGGGCTTGGGCGAAGGGAGAGGCGCGCCCGCTGGGGGTCGGGAGAGGCCGAGGGCCACAGTCTGAGCAGGGAGGCAAGCTCAGCAGGGGGTCCTGGCCCAGGAGGGTGGCAGCCTGTGGGGTCTGCATAGGCCAAAGCAGCGCAGGTGAGGGTGGGGGTGGGGACGGCTGCAGGCAGCTGGCAGGCGGGGCCACCGGAGGCCAGAGGACGGGGATGGCAGCGCACTCTCCGCCGGCTCCCAGCCTGCCCAGGTTGAGTGGGCTCCCAGCCCAGCCGGTCCCGGCCCCCCACCCTGTGCCTCCAGAGGCAGCAACACCCCAAAGCAGCCAGCCTGTCTCTTCAACTCTAGCTCCCCCGCTCCCAGCTCCCCAGGCCAATCGCCTCCCCTGCTCCAGGGAGAACCGAGGGTCATTTCAGTCCTGTTCGGAGCTGGACGCCTTCCCCCGGCCAGCTGGTCTGTCTCCAGGCGGCGAGGTCTCGGACGAGAGCCACAGGCCGGCCCCCCACTCCTCTGCACTCGGGCTCCCCACCTCAGCCGGCAGCTCTCAGACCAGCCTTTCTGCAGGGGCTCCTGGGGCCACCCCAGGCCCAGCCACCTGTCTCCCCACTTGGTCCCTCCTCAGCCCCTTCTTCCTTAATCACCCAAACACATGTGCAAGCTCTCTGGCCTTCCTCCACCGCCTCCCCCTCTCCTTGTCCCTCCCCCGGCAGCCCTGGCCCTGGAGCCTACAGCTGCAACACACACACTCACACACACTCTCACTCACACACACTCTCACACTCACACACACTCTCACTCACACACACTCTCACACTCACACACACACACTCACACACACTCACACACTCTCACACTCACACACATACACACTCACACACTCACACTTACACGTTCACACTCACACACATACACACTCACGCACACTCATGCATAAAACCAACTGTGGAATACGGTCCTGCTTCTGAGCAGGGTGTGCGCTCCGGAGAGCTCTCTGCTCGCACCTGACATCCAATCACATTCCCTCCCCACACGTTTTCTGCTCCTACTGGAAGCTGGGGCCGGGCAGGCGCGGAGGGGCGGAGAGGGGGCAGGATGAGCAGGGTGTCCCTGACAGCCAAAAGGGGTCGCCTGCCTCACCCAGAGCCACACACACGGAGGGTCTGGTTTCCCCATTTGGAAAGGGAACAGAGCTCCTAACTGTCAGACCGAACTACGTAGCCTCCCTCCCCGCCCCGGACTTCCATTCATCCTTTCAACCAAGTCATTCATTCGGCAGCTTTGGTGAACACCTACTACGTGCCGGGCTCAGGCACGGAGGGTGAGGGCAGTGAGCTGGCCAGCGAGCCCCGTGGGATCACGACCTGAGTGACCCCTCAGCCACAGCTCCACAGGGTGGGGTGCTGGGGTGGGAGTGGGGCGGCCGGCCCGCCTAGGGGGCGGGGAGCCTTCCCGCAGAGGGGAGGCGGGGACAGGGACTGGATCTGAGAGCAGGGTGTGCAGTGGGGGGGGAGCCAAGCATGGCGCAGCTGGCCCAGTGGTCTCCTTGGAAGCTCGGACCTCCCCCGAGGGCTGTGGGTGCCGTGGAAGGAGCTTCAGAATGACATGAGCCGATGGACCAAGCGGGATCTTTCATTGCTAACAGCAGGAATGGGCTCCAGCCAACTGAAGACACAAATAAGATTTCTGGAAAGGTGTGCGGAGCTCCCCGAGGAAGGAGGGGGCGCAGCCGGGCCTCGGGAGCCTCCCTCCGAGGCGCTGGGATGTACCAGCACCACCTGGTCTCGCTCCGTCTGCCCCACACTCCAGACGCTGGCCCTCAGGGGAACAGACCTGGGGCCCGTCCACACGGCGGCTGCGACTGCCCAGCCACCGACGGATGAGCCCCTTGACATAGTGTGGGCAGATCTCAGGCGTTCCCAGTGAGAGAACAAGACAGAAGGCCAACCTCAGAGAACGCGCACCGCACAGCTCCATCCGCAGGAAGTTCCCGAGCAGGCAGCCTCTGCTCTGCTTGCGGCCCCTCGGCACAGGGTCCGAGGAACCCTGGGGTGATGGGGGTGCTGTGGTCGTCCACACTGCCTTCAAGCTGTAGGCTTAAAACCTGTGCCTTTTGTCACATGTGACAGCATTATGCACCATATCATGATACAAAATGAAACAGGAGTAAACTCTGTTCTTTTGCCGGCAACAAAAATAAATGAATCAGGCGATCAATTAACCAGGCCGTCCGTGCAGGGAGAGAGTCAGCCTGGGTGGTTCACACACTCCCATCCTCCCGTGGCCAGAGGATAAGGGGCACCCTACCTGACAGTTCCCCCAAGACTTCTTGCAAGCAGGGAAGGTGGTTTCCAGAAGGCTCGCCAAGGAATGCTGAGAAGGCAAGCATCCAGCCTCAGAGATATCCTGGTCTGTTTACTTCTGGGGTGAAACAATGTAACCAAGCAGACAAGAATGTCAGCCTCACTGGTCTAATCGCCAAGGAAACCCAAGTAGGAAAAGAACAGGCGAGTAGAACTGTGTGCGGGCTGGTAACACACGCAACGTATCTACAAGGTCCGTCCCGTGCTCAGAACCGGCTCCCCCTTGGGTTCCCTCACCTCTGGCTGCCCTGGACAGGTGACTGGAGCCTGAGCCCACGGATTCTCCCGTTCTGAGCTCCTGGCGCCCTGGGGGCTGGAAGCCAGAGGTTGTACTCATGGGGACTTTCTCCTCCGAGGTCGGTGCCTCCAGAAAGTACAGTATGGTCTCCTTGAATCAACAGCTCTGGCCTCTCAAAAAATAAAAATAAAAAAACCTCAGAGACAAGTGCTGATCACGTGGGGCCTCAGCTGTTGGACCCTCTCCATGTGCTGCTCAGCAAATGCACTGAGATCCCTGCCTCCCCCGGGCATTTAAACCCAGCTGCCCGCTGCCCCTGGCTCTCCTGCCCCGACCCGCAGCCGGCACCCACCCCTCCTCCCGGCCAGAGCCTTCCTCCCCGGCCCATGGGGACGCTCGTGGCCAAGTTGCTCCTGCCCACCCTCAGTAGCTTGGCCTTCCTCCCCACCATCAGCATCGCTGCCAAGAGGAGGTTCCACATGGAGGCCATGGTCTACCTCTTCACCATGTTCTTCGTGGCGGTGAGTCTGGGCCTGGGGGGGACCCGCACGGGCCCTCTCTCCCAGGCGGAGGAGGGGGCTGTCTTCCCACCCCTTCCCTGCATTTCCTGGGGACGAAAAGTGATTTGGAGGTGAAAGAAAACCCCGGAGTCCAGGAGAGAGGGTCAGAGGAGCCACTCCGCCACCCTGGGCCTCAGTTTCCCCGTTGGCGCCAGAGAACCTCCCTGGGATCGGTGTGAGTGGGACCAGTCCCACACGGTGCCGGGTTCCGTCTGTCGAGGACAAGCCCCTTTCTTGCCACTGGCCAACTACACAAGGCCACCGTGGGCCAGCCCCCCCCCAGCTGTAAGAACGGGGCGGCGGAGGGGAGAGGGAGCCAGGCCAGGAGGGGTTAGCGGGCTTCGGGAATGCGCTGGGCAGGGGGAGTCGGTTCCAGACTTCGGGAGCTGGCCGCAGTTCAGGGGGGCCTTGCTCATGGTTGCTCCGCTCCTTCCTGGGCTTACGTGCCTCTCTGGGTCTTTCTCCTTCTGTCTGGATGTCTGGAAGAGTTAGTGCCCCCTCCCTCCCTCCCTCCCTCTCCCTCTCTGCCCCCCGCTCCCGCCCCGGCTCCCTGTGGGTCTCTTCCCCTCTACGTTTCTCTTCCTGGTTTTCTCTGTGTCTAATGTTCTCTCCGCGACCATCTTTCTTTCTTTTTCTTCGTCCGTGTCTGGTTGTCTCCTAGTTTCTGAAAGTGCATCCCCATAGAATTTGCTCTTTCTAAAGCTCTTGGTGTCTCCTCCTCCAGCTGTGTTCCTGTGACCTTCCCCGTGTCTGTCTGACTCCATCCCTCTAGTTTTTGTCTGTCCGTCTGCCTAAGCAACGTTGTATGATCAATCAGCTGTGTAGCTACCTGCCTGAGCAGTCACCCACCTATTCATCTGTGCTCCGGCTATGTTTAGTGCTCCCTCTCTCTGCTCCCCTCTGAGTCCCCCCCCCCCATGCTGGGCTCCCAAAGCAGCTGCACTCTCTCTTCTTTGATCATCTTCCGTCAGATCTGTCCTTCATTCCAGCCTGGCTCCCCGTGAGAAGCGGGTGCTGGGAGGCGAGGGCTCCCGGCTCCTGTCGTGGGCTGCGGACATGAGGAACCGCAGGCTCCTGCCCTGGGCCAGCCCGGCCCCCGGCGCAGGGCCTCTGTGGGCGCACGTCAGGGTGTGGGGCAGCCCCGGGTGGTGGCGTCTGTGAGCACACGCATGTGTGTGCAAACTCGTGTGCGTGGGTCGTGCCTGCACCCCGGCTGACCTGCAGTGAGCGAAGCTGCGATTTCAGGGGCCAGTGCGTCCCACAGGCGGCGGTGACCCGGCCAGGCTGGATCCTTTGATGGAATCAGAGTCCCTGGCGCTGGGGTCTCCCCCTCTGGGTGGGAGAGAGACCTCGGCTACAACGTGCTGGCCCCGAGCCAGTGTCCAGGGTGGGGGTGTGCTGGGTGCCATGCACACGCTATCCTGTTTGATCTTCTCAGCACCTTGGGAGCCTGGGATTGTGACGGGCTTATCTGACAGATAAGGAAACTGAGTCCCGGAGAGGCTGAGTCCTGTGCGTCCCAGTAAGCACCAGCCGCACCCCGGCTTAGTCTGGGCGTTTCGCTGATGCCATTCCGGTTGCTCTTCTCGGGACCCCGGCAGGGGTGAGGGCCAGGAAGGAGGTCGGAGGTGTGAAACGGACGTGCAGAGTGGACACGGGACTCCTCGGGGAGGGCGAGGGTCTCCGGGCAAGGAGAGGAGCGGGGGCTGGGGGCCCAGGCCCATGCGAGACCCAGCCCAGGAACCCACAGGCACGGTCGGGCCACCCCCGTCCCCGCCCAGGCTGAGCCGGCCCCACAGCTGCCTCCCCACCACCCCGGAGGCCCACCCTGCCCCGCCCTGCCCCACCCGGAGTGGCAGGGGCAGCTGCCTCCTGTGACGAATGTCCCCAGGCCTCAAAGCCACACTGCCCCTTCTCCAGGAGCCCTCAGGGCGTCCTCACAGGCCCGCCTCCCACACGCCCCTCCTGTGACTGTCTGAGCAGGACCTCCCACGACAGTTGCTGTCTCCATGCTGACACCGCGCTATGTGCTCTGTGACATGAAGTCCCCTGGCCCACCCCAGGGAGCAGGTGTTCTTGTCCCCAAGTGGCAGAAGGGCCCTGAGCAGTCAGCCGCTGGCCTGAGCTCACACAGTACGGCCCTGTCGGGTTGGCCTCCAGAGGCTGTGTTCGCCCACCGCGCCCTCGCTGGGTCAGGACTGCCTGTGCCCAGAGACGGAGGGAGGCCTCACCTGCCCCTGTCCCACGGAGATGAACCAAGCAAGGCCTGGGGGGTGGCCCTCCTGGACCAGGCCTCCCTAGACCACCCCAAATCCTGCCTCCATGACTCTGCCTTCACATGGCGACAGTCACTGTACCCCAACTGCTGGGGCCTGGGGTCACGGCCAGGATGAGACAGAGGACGTTCCTGCTTTTGATGAGGGCAGGGCACAGTCACTGCCCAGAATATCATAGTGAGTAAGTCTGCAATCATACATGGTCATCTGCGCTAGGCAGGAGAGACACGGGGTACAGAGAGAGCAGACATGAGGCTGGGGTGGGGCTAAGGGAGATGTTGTTCTAGAAGGAACACGGGGGCAGGAGACTATCCATGTCACTCACAGGGCCTGGCTCTGCTTACAGAGCCATGGGGAGCGGTGTCCTTCTCCCTCCTCTATCCCACAGGGTCTGAGCACCTTGATCAGACCACACCTGAAGCTTCTCTCCCAGCTACATAGTCATGTCCACTGCTTGCTTGCTCTCCTCTAGCCTCCTCTTTGTCATCATCACTTCAAAAGGTGAGGCACCCAGAGCTCAACACCAAGTGGGTCTGATCGGAACAGAGAGAATGGGAGACCGTCTCTCTCCCTGTCGTTCAGGCCACTATGACTCTAGTAATGCCCCTGGCTGCACCTACTGTTGCAACCAGTAAGAGCTCGAAATTGACCCCGGCTTGCTCGGCTCACCAGGTGCCCCCGGGGCTCCTGCTCCCCCCGAACCAGCCTGGCGCCTCCGGAGGGGCTGCGCTCCTGGCCACCTCCTCCCTCCTGCCGAGCTGGGCTCATCAAGAGTCCACTGTGCTGCTTCCCAGCTTGTTTATGCCATGGAACTTGTCAAAATAGTTATGTCATGTAATTAAATATTACTTAAAATGATGAAATGTGTGCACGAAGGACAGTTGTTTCCTGTTAGGAACAAGTGCACGGCTCTGAGACACTCCTCAGGCATTTTGTTCTGAGCGCTGCTGCTAAATGAGATATTGGGCGAGCAACTCTGAGTCCCAGGGACGGACGGGCGACCCGGGCACCGCGTCCGGCACGTGCACGGCCTTCGCGGCCTCCCCGCACGTTAGAGGAACCGGGTCTGGAAGCTGCAGGCGCTGGTTCTCAAATCGGGTTCCCCGCCCTGGGAAAGACACAGGTCTCCGACCCCAACTCAGACCTGCTAAGTCAGGGACTCTCGGGGACGCTCAGCAACCTGAGTCTCCATGGCCCCCAGGGGTTCTGATGCCCGCTCGGATCTGAGAAATTCCACAGTGGGGTATCCCAGTAATTAGAGGGGTAAATTGTGGGGGGAAGGCTCTGAAGAGCAGATTGGCGTTGGCCTCACATCCGTAGGTTGGTGAGAAGAAGCCCAGGACCGGCTCTCCGTGGGCCTGGGGACTTCTTGTGGCTTCGTCAGAGTGACACCCAGCCCCCAGCCACAGCTTCTGAGGGCAGCGGTCAGCAGTGACCCATTTTACAGATGGGGCCATTAAGCGACTTTGCCCAAGGTGTCACAGCCAGGGAGTGGCCTGGCTCGCATGGCTCAGGGACCAGCCCTGGGCCTGGGGCCCCGCGCCGCCGTCTTGCCGCTGACCACCGGTGGTCTTCCCGCAGCTGTATCACGCCTGCACCGGGCCGGGCCTGTCGGTCCTCTGCTTCATGCGGCTCGACATCCTGGAGTACTTCAGCGTGTACGGGACAGCGCTCAGCATGTGGGTCTCGCTGATGGGTGAGTGGCCGACCCACGTAGCCCAGAGGGCAGACAGGGCTCTGCACCCGCCGCCCAGCCACCCACAGACTGCCCCCCCCCACTCCAAAACCACCTCCCTCCCCCGGGGCTCAGAGCTGAGCTTAATCTATGAAAAAGAAGGTTCAGTCCTCGCCCCAGGCAGTGTGGCTCAGCGATTAGAGCGTCAGCCTGTGGACCAATGAGTCACTGGGTCAATTCCAGTCAAGGGCATGTACCTCGGTTACGGTTTGTCCCCGGCCCTGGTCCAGGTTGTACTGGAGGTAGCCAGTCGATGTGTCCCTCTCACATGATGTTTCTTTCTCTCTCCCTCCCTCCCTCCTGCTCTATCTGAAGATAAATAGAAAAATATCCTCGGGTGAGGATTAAAAAATAAAAAGAAGAATGTGTTGTCCTCAAAGGCCTGGATTCCCATTTTCCACACCCTTTTGAAATCACACGTTCGAGAAGGCTGCTATGACAACTTCAGTAGCAGAGGGAGGAGGCAGAAAGCTCCCCGCCAGGTCCTTCCCCGGGACCCCTGTCCCAGCTCCGGGTTCAGCCTCGGGGCCTTTCCTTCACATACATGCTTGTCAGCTCGCTTTGCGTGGAGATGGGCTCATTCAAAAGCATATTGTTCTGCAACTCTCTTACTTCCCACTGTCTCACGACAATGTCTAGACAGGTCCCCATTCCGCGGGGCTTCCCAGGTCTCTGTCTGTGTGTCTTCCTTCCGGTGGTCCCATGGAATGACGTCACTTGGACCCTCACATGTCAATCTGTCCATTGAAGCTGCTTCCCCCTAGCACAGCCCAAGCCGCTCCGTCCATGGGGAGGAGCTGAAATTCACACCTGTGTGACCAGGCTGGGCCCTGGGTCTCCCTGGCTGATGGGATACCAGCCACACCTGGGTCTCTGAGGGCGGCCTCAGGGTGAGCCGGGGCCGGGAGGGGCCGGGAGGGGCCAGGAGGCCATTGGCTTCTCCCAATCTCTCTCCCCGGCCCGCTAGCACTGGCCGACTTCGACGAACCCAAGAGGTCAACCTTTGTGATGTTTGGCGTCCTGACCATTGCTGTCCGGATCTACCACGACCGCTGGGGCTACGGAGTGTACTCGGGCCCCATTGGCACCGCCGTGCTCATCATCGCGGCAAAGTGGGTGCGTATGTGTGACCCTCAACACACGAGCCCTCCCCTGACTGCTCCCCCTCCCCTCCCCCTCGCGGGCAGGCGGGCTGGATGTGCTTCAGCTGAGACAGAAATTACCCTCGGCGCCCCAGCCATGCACAGCCGGTTCGTGTCATGTCTGTAACTCACTAGCTCTGGACCGAAGCCAAGCTACTGAACCTCTCTGCCTCAGTTTCCATATCTGTAAAGTGGGCATTACGATAACAGCCCAGTAGCCACCTCATAGGGTTGGTTCAAAGATAATGCGCCTTCATTACTGACAGAACGGGCTTCTAATGTGCTCAGCAAATTGGGGCTGTGTATTATCATTCTTGAAGAGAATGGCGGTTTGGAGATGCGATCTCAATTGAAGACGGCCTGGGTTAATCTGGGAAGACTTCCTGGAGGAGGTGGGCCTTCAGCTTGGTTCTAAGGAGAAGGGAGGATGTGGTGTGAGGTTGACAGGAAGGTGGAACTGCTCGTGAGTCTTGAGGCAGCCTGAGCAGGAGTTTCCAGTGGCCTTCTGGGCACCCAGGGGGCTGACACCCACGAGACCCTTTACACATGGTCCCCAGGTCTCCTTGTACCCTCTGTCATCCCAAGGCCCTCCTGGCTACAAGGACCAGAACTCACTCACATTACCCAAGCTGGAGAGGGACACTGCAGCAGGGGGAGCAGGGAAGGAGCTGAGCCCTGCAGGGAGCAGAGCCCAGGCCTGCAGTGCAGGAGGGCAGCACTCAGGGAAGAGGGCTCGGGCTGGCCGGGTGCCGACGGTGCCCAAGCCTGTCTACAGACCCGGGAGGGTGGCTGCAGCGCTGGGCGAGCTTTCCGAACATGCCCGCTCTTCACGCCCAGGAGCAAACGGTTTAATTTGCCATTTGGCTGATGAAGAATAAAGCACAAGAAGTCACAGCAGGACGGCCCAAGCCTGGCCTTGACTTTCCCAGCAAGAGAAGCGGAGGAGGGTCTTCCCCACTCCGGCTTGGGGGAGCAAACCCAGGAGGCCCCTCGAAGTTGCGAGTGGAGAGGAAGTGTGCTGGGACTGACTTGTCTGGAAGGACCACGTTCAGGAACGTGCTGGAAGGACAAGACACAGAGCCCCGGGCTCGGACCGCGCGCGCCCCCGCGGGAACCCGGGTAAAGGCTCCTGGTTCTGGCCTGGGGCTGCTGCTCCCACGGATCTGGCCCAGGTCTGAGCCTGGGTCCCCACAAAGCACAGGGACTTCCACGGCCCCAGGAACGGAGGGCGGCCCGGCTCCCTGCCTCTGGGGCTCAGCTTGTGTTTTCTAGTCCATTTAACGTGGAGTTTATTTTGGATTTTCAAGGGCGGCTGTTTCCAGGAAGGAGGGTGGATTTTTCTCCTGATGCTCGTCCCTCGAGCCGGGTTTGGGGACAGCAGCTCACAGGAAGAGGAAGTGGCGGGACGGGTGTGACAGGGCCGTGGCAGGGCCAGGCCGGGCCGTGACCTCAGGCAGGTGCAGGACCCAGGGTCACAGGGGCCGCCCACACGCTCCCTACACTGCTGCGAGTCCCAGTTCCTCGCGGGCTACGCGGGGTCCAGAAAACTGGAAGCCGGACTCCGTTTCATCACTCGTTTGGTGGCGAAAGCTGCCCTGACCCGGCGCGGGGTCACGCGTGGGCTTTCCGCGTGCCATGCCGGGCTCTGCGCTCTGGGGGCGCTGCCCTGGCTCCCGGATTCCCGCCGTGGGTGCAGACATGGCTCACGTCCACCCAGACGTCTGCGCTCTGAAACACCTCGGCCCCGAGGGGCGAGCTTTCGGGGTGCCGACCCACCCATTTCATCGTTCTGGAGATGTGAACCCCTCCTCTTCAGCGTTAAGTACTTGAGCCTCCTTCTGAGCAGGGGACCGCGAGTCGTTGACTATGGCAGCAGGAACGCTGACACAGACCCCCACGGGCACCGCCGAGGCCACACAGGCGGGTGGGCAGGCCCCGCTCCACACCCCGCGCTGGCCGTGAACACACGCAGTGCCCGGGCCCCTCGGGGCTCCCCTCTGGCTGGGGCCGGGAGCTGTGCAGGGGGCCTTGTTGCACCCCAAACAAGCAGGCAGGGGTGGGGAGGCAGGGGTTCCCAGCCCTGTCGCCCGGCGGTGGGCTCCTGTGGGTCCTGAGGCTACCGAGTGGGCGCACGTCAGCATGTCTCCGAGTCCCGTCTCCTGCCCGAGGACGGGGAGTGGGTGCCCGGGGGCCAGTCCTCCCTCGGGCTCAGGCGGCCGCTGCTGGGCGGACACTCTGACCTAAGAGCTTCCCCGTTGCCACTGTCTTCCCAGCTGCAGCAGATGAAGGAGAAGAAGGGTCTGTACCCCGACAAGAGCGTCTACACCCAGCAGATAGGCCCCGGCCTCTGCTTCGGGGCCCTGGCCCTCATGCTGCGCTTCTTCTTCGAGGTACCCGGGTGGCGGGGCGGGAGAGTGGCCAGTCCACCAGAGCCCACTTCCAGGGCACGCCCTCCATGCCTGGCATCCAGAGGAGGTGCCCAGCCGGGATGGGGCCAGGGGCTGGGGAGACGGATGGGGGAGGGGAAGGGAGGCAGGGAGAGAGGGGAGCCTCAGCCTCATTGTCAAAGGCCAGCGAAGGCAGGGCTTTCGGTACTCGGGGGTTTGGTGTAGGAAAGACCACGGTAGGCTGCACAGTGAGGGGAGCACGTGAGGGCCCTCAGCCAGACTCCCGAGGACAAGAGGGGTCAGGGAGGAGCCTGGGTCAGGGGCACAGTAGAGGCACCCGGCACGTGGGGGAGGGGCCTGGAGAGGAGATGAACCTGGGGCTCAGGGCTGAGGCCGCAGACTGACCCCCGCCCGTCCACCGCAGGATTGGGATTACACCTATGTCCACAGCTTCTACCACTGTGCCCTGGCCATGTCCTTCATCCTGCTGCTGCCCAAGGTCAACAAGAAGGCTGGCAGCTCAGGGCCCCCTGCCAAGCTGGACTGCTCCACCCTGTGCTGCGCCTGTATCTGACCGCACCCAGCCCCGCCCGCCCCGCCTCGCGCCTGCGCGTCCGCCTGCCCTTCCCCAGCCCCGTGTCCAGGAGAGACTCCGACCTCGTGTTCTGAGGGGTCCCAGGGGCTTGGGGAGCACCTCCAGGCCAGGTGCTCCCTGAGAACCCACGGCCTAAGTTTCTCTGGGCGCTAAGCACCGTCCTGGGAAGACAGAGGTTTCTCCCTCCTCCCAGGCCCCGGCAGGACTGACCGCGTGTGCAGGACTGGGAGTCAGCGCCTGTCCCTCTACCCCGCTCCCCCTTCACCCCAAAGCCCCAGCCTGTCCCAGCCACAGAGGGGCCCTGCCCCCGCCAGCTGTTTGCTCTGGGGGACTGGCACCACCACCCCGGCCTGTGCCCCCAGGCTCTGAGCGTGCCCGGTGGGGAGCCGGCTCTGCCGCCCAGGCCTGCTGCCCTGTGGCCATCCCTCCAGCTGGGTCCCTCAATCAAGTAAATGTTTTCATGACAATGACCAATAGGAAGCGCCGCGATGTATTGACCGTCCTGGGAGCCCAGGTGAGTGTCCATCTCCGTCCTCCGGGCACTCGCCCGGGCTCCTCGGCCTGGGAAGGTGGGTCTGGGTGCGGGGACCTTGAGCAGAGGCTGGTGACAGTCCCACAAGCTGGGCTAAGGGGAGTCGGCCTGCTCCTGTCCTGAGCCTGTGTGCACTGGGCCCCGGGGGCGGCGGGAGCCAGCCTCCCAGACATCACCTCACAAGTCCGAGCCTCCCCGCAGGGCCAGCCCACCCCGACTTCCCGAGCGATCCGGGCACATCTGTCAGGCAGGAAGTTACCTACACCTGCTGGGGCCTGTTTGTGTTTCCAGACCATGCGGTCACCCTCGTCCATCCCACCATGGGGGACGGCCGGTCATTTGCCCAGAAGTCACCTCTAGCACACCACAGGGGCCGGGAGAGAGCTGGCTTCAGCCTCTGGGGCTGGGCCCAGCGTGGCCCCCTTGGCTGGGCCCCCATCGGTCGGCCTCCCTGACCGCCCAGAGGTCCCGCGTCTCAGGCCCTGGACACCCACAGCCTGGCCCTGGCTCAGCACCTTTCCGTCCCCACAGCCTGTTCACGACAGGGCAGCCCACTCAGCCCTTCACTGGCGCTCGGGGTCCTCACCAAGCCCCTTTTCCGATGAGGAAGCTGAGGCTCGGCAGCTTCAGGGCCGTCCACCCAGGCCTGTCCCCATCACAGGGCTGAAGGCACGGGACACAGCAGGGGGCCCTCCCCCCAGCTCCACACCCTGTGGAGGAGGGGAGAAGCAGGTGCTGCCCCATTGGCTGCAGGTCTGATGGGGGGGTGCACACACATGTACACACCCATGCACACGCCATGAAGAGACGGTGCACCACAAAGTCTTCCCTCTGGCCAGGGGACACTCACAAGTCACAGCACTGGGCTGTAAGGAAAGGGGGGACTCTGGGGCCGTGGCGGGGGGGGACGACAAGGGGACATTGCCCTGGAAACAGGAACCTTCAAAGTGGCCGGCCTCTGCCTGTCACCTCTCCCATCCCCTCCACCCCATCACCGCCCTCCCTGCCCCGTGCCCCTTCACCCACCACTGCCTGCCCCGGCCTCGTGCCCTCCCTCCCCGCCCCGCCCCCGCCCCCGCCCCCGTGAGCATGCCCAGCTCCCACCTCTGTGGCAGCACATGGAAAATTGGAAGCAGCGGGATGCTCCCAAGCAGGGAGGAGGCGCGGGGCCCGCCAGGAGCGCAAGGGCTGCAGCAACAGGCTGCTCACTGTGGCCGCGCTGATTTATGAGGCTGTCTGGGAGCCCAGCCAAGTCTGTAAGTCATGGACAATTAGGAGGCGCGCTCCAGGCCTGCCGCACCCCTCCCGCAGGGCTGGGCCCCACAGAGACCCCGCGGAGGGCCCACTCTGCAGATGAGGACACTGAGGGTCGGCACGTCGGCAGCTGGCCCCCGTCCCTTGGACACGGGCCACTGAGTTGGTGGCCATGTTCACGGTCCTGCCGGTCATCCCAAAGGCATGTCCCTCTGGCTCCAAGGACCACTTTGACATCGTGGGGGCTCTCCCCAAGGGCCGGGAGGGGAGTGCCTGGGAGGGGGACCAGAGAAGGAGAAGGCCACCCAGAATGGCCACCCCGATATCTCAACACTAACAAAGAAGTAAGCGTCACTGGCTCCAGACTGAAACACCTCTGAGTCCCAGTGTCATTCGGCCCTGGGGTCTTCGTGTCCCTGGAATCCGAGATGCATGGCACCTGGTTTTAAAGGGCCCCCAAAGCCGTCCTGACCCACGGCAGGCTTCAGACGGACCCTCCTCCCACCCAGCCCTGGCGGGCCTGGGGACCCAGGAGCCCGGAGACTTCCGCGAGCGAGTGCCTGACACGCAGCCCTCGGCGTCCCGAGTCCCCGAGCAGCCCCGAGCCGAGCGCTGGCTTCGATGATGGAGGTGGGGAGGTGCTCGGGCGTCCGCACGGCGCGCTCCCACGCGTGGCTCCGCAGCATCAGAAGCGTGGAGGGTGCCGGAGGAGCGGAGTCTTCACCCGAGTGTCGCTTTCACTCCTGGATTGAAACCGCCGCGTGCGCAGGGCGCAGGGAGAGTATAGGAGTCCAGCCCTGTTGATCAACAAGAGAGAATGATTCCGCCCGAGTCGGCCTCCTGTTTGGGGTGCTCCTGCATGAGACACAGTCCAGGGGATCCCTGCGCACCTGGGATGGAACGGCACTGGCGCCCTGTGTTCTGTCGGGCACCCCAGCTGCGGGGACCAACAGATCGGGCCCCTGGGTTAAACCATGTGACCCAGGCAGAGGGGCTGCAGGACCTAGTTCTGGGTGTGGCCTCACTGCCAGGACACGGGAAGGTGTGGGGGGCAGGACGGTGCCCTCACCCTGTGCATCCAGTCTGGACCAGGGGAGTGGGGGCACACAGGCCCTGCACCGCGTCCCCAGGCCTGGGCCCGGCTTCCGGACGCTGCAGAGCAAGGAGCAGAGGCCCCGATGCCCTGGACTGTCCCCATGCCCAGCACACACACCCTCCCGCACACAGGCTGGGTTCCCGGCGGGGGGAGGGCGCCGCACACCTCCGGCAGCCCAAACGGAGAAGTATTATAAACATCTACAACAACTAGACAAAACAGTCTATTGTAGCGGCCCCTCCGCCTCCCCCCACCCCGCCGGGGTGAGGTTGGCATGGCAGGGGGAGCCCTGGGCCCCCGCCAGGACGTCCTCCGTTTGCGCAGCGGAGGGGTTTTCGTCTGAGGGCAGTCTGCATGCTGCGGCCTTTGTCTGTCTGCTACTGAAATTTCCTGTCTCTGTTATTCTCTTCTCCAGTAAGACCATCTGAAACCCAAAACTTTTATTGCCCCTTTTAAAAAGGCTTTACGGCTCCCCATCCACCTCATAGGCCGCGCGGGGCGGAGCCGCCGTGGCAGTCAGGGGCGTGCTCAGCCGCAGGGCCTTGGCGGAGGAGCCCCAGGAAAGCGGGGCCAGGTATGTGGGCAAGACGGTTCTGCAGAGTCGGCAGGAAGCCGGGATGTAAGCCTGGCGAGCTGGTTAGCTGATTAGCTGGTTAGCAGTGCTCCCGAGCAGTGTGGCCAGCGGCGACAGGTCAGCTGCCACGTGGGGACCCAGTGCCGTCCTGGCCGGCCCCTCCCTGGGTGCCCCGGGGCCTGCGTCTTCACCCCAGTTCCCCAGCCTTGGGGAACAGCAGCCTCGCCCTGCTGGCCACTCAGAGCGTTAGGGGAAATCACATCAGAGACCAGCCGGACAGAGACGCTCTCGGGACAGTGAGAAAGGCAGACAGGAGCTCTCGGGACAGTGAGAAGGCAGACAGGAGCTCTCGGGACAGTGAGAAGGCAGACAGGAGCTCTCGGGACAGTGAGAAGGCAGACAGGAGCAGGCCGGGGCGGGGGTGGGGCTCAGGTGTCCAGGTGCAGAAACGAGCGGCAGCCAGGCAGGCTCGGGTCCGTGTTTCCTTCATGGCTAGAGGCAAGCTGCCTGAGTCCTCCCAGCCTCAGTTTCCCCAACTGTAACAGTGCTCCCCTCCCTTGCTTGTTGCCAAGATTAAATGAGAACATTGAAAACAAGGCACTCAGGACAGTGGTTTATAAAAGAATCAACATCATTTTTATTTTCATCATCAGTGGTCACGAGCGAACCAGAGACTAGCGGGGTCCTTGCCACCAGGGGATGGTCACCCCAGCTTCGGCACCAAATACCATTCCATTTGCCAAGGGGATGAAATGCTTAAGCCAAGTGTCTGTGATGGGCTAGGGACTTAAGCAAAGAAGGCTTCCCGGAAGAGGCAGGCTTGAGGCTGAGACTAGAAAAGCAAACGCAGAGCGGACAGTGTGAACAGACACCTGGCTCTCGGGCCTTGTCCCGATGGCTCCACGGTCCCACGGTTCTGGGTCTGCCCTGACCCGAGCTCCCGCCACCTCCAGCAGCCCGTGGAGAGTTGGGTGCCCACAGCTGTCCCTCCTCGCTTCCGTCTTGGGCCTGGGTTCCGGGACAAGACAGGGACGGGTTTGGGCAGGCGTGTTCAAGGTTAAAGGTGGGAACAGACACTGGCTGCTCTGGGCTCCTCCTGCCCTGGCTGAGGGTCAGCTGAGCAAGCCCACGAACAGGACTTCAGCAGCAAGTGTGAGCTGGCTTCCTTGCCCCGGACTTGCGCGGTGAAGGCCTGATGGACGTTCCTTCCCCTCCGCAGCTTCCTGGGGGCTCCTGCTGTCATGTCCCCATCACTCGGCTGGGCTTTCAGTCTGTCCCTGGTGCCTGCCCTGGCCCAGCAGGAAGCAAGGGGCCCCAGCTCCCTCAGGGCCCAGCTTACACATCACCTACCCCTTGAGTGGTCCCCGGGTGCCAAGTATCATTCTGAACCCTGAGGATTCCCAGGGAGCAGCCAGCCCTTCCACCCCTGCACAGTGGTGCAGCCAAGCAGAAATGAGGGGGCGGGAGGGCATCCGCTGACCTGAAGACCAGAAGGCAGTGGTTCGGGGAAGGGGGAACTACCGGTTGCCAACATGGACAGT